GTAGAACTTGGCATTCTACTCCACAGGGAATTCTTGTGGTTTCTGTCCCCTTATGTTCAAACTTGTCTCCACCTATGCCCATCTTCACCTCTTTTTCCCTGTCTTAGAGGAAGAGGTGCCCTTCCTTGGCTAGGTTTAACTTTTGCTCCTGTGCTCTGGATCCCATGTGACCCATTTTCTCTGAGATTTGTTCCTTCCGTAAATGTTTTTTCAGTCTCTCCATATGAATCAGCAGAAACTCTCTCTTGGCTAGTCCACCCTAAACCAATTCTTCAAATCTGAGTGCCTCATGGTAGCCCTAGCCCTTTTCTTCACATCTAGGGTTCTGGAAAGAGTCATTTTACTTGCTGCCTCCTCTTCCTTAATTTCCATGTGCTGTAGATGTGATTTTTATGTCTAATCCCTCACTCCCTTGACCATGGCCCTACTGAAATTGTTCCTGTTAAGATCATCAAACCTCTTAATTGTCAAATCCAGTGATTCAGAGAACACACTTTTACTTGTTGTCTTTCTCAATATTCCTCCTAGTTTGGCATTGTTGACCACTATCCTGCTTTTAAAGCCATCACCTCTGACTTCTGGGATACCATCCTCTTCTGGTTCTCTGCTCATCTTTCTGGCACCTCCATGTTATCTTTCATAGGCTCCTCTTTCTGTGTCCAGTTCTTCTGTGTCCACCTCAGAGCTCCTTCCTCAGACTTATCTTCTAAGCTTTTCTCCAGTGATCCTATCTGTGTCTGTGGCTTCAACCACCATGTCTTTCCTCCATCCTTTCTCTTGAGCTCATTACAGCCAACTACTTATTGACCACACTCACCTCTGTGTCCCACAGGCCCCTCACAGTCAGCATGTGCAAAACTGAACATATCATCTTCCCCACCAAACTGGCTCCTCTTCTAAGATGATTAGCCAAAAATTTAAAAAAAGGTAACATGATCTCATCTCCACAGCCTGAAAACTTGGATCATTCTTGACTTTTCCTTCTCCCTCATCTTCTACAGTCAACAGACCATCAATGCATGTTGATTATATTTTATAAACATATATGTATTCTATATGTCCCTTCTCCTCCAGTCTCTTCACAGCTGCTCTTGTTCAGGCATTCATCTGTCCTGCTTGATTTGTGGAATAGCCTTGAATAGCACACTTACTGTTTCTAGTCTCCTGCTTTCCCCTGTGCTTCTTCTATTAGAAAAATCAGTGATATATCCATTAGAATGATGATTGCATTGTATTACGATTGCACTATACTGTGACTGATTGTATTATGATTCAATGTCTACTGCTCTACTGAATTGAGAGCTTCTTTGGGGGCAGATATTGCATGTTATTTATCTTTGTATCCCCAGTGCATGTGATAATGATGGGCATATAGTAGGTGTTCAATAAACACTTGTTCAGTGAATAAATGACTCAACCTCTATCAAGAAGAGCAGACTGAGCACAATTAATCAATCTTGGAAGCTTTGAGCACTGTCCCATTTTAGCAGCTTGAATGCCTAATTAGTTACTGATGTGACAATAACACATTTGGTGGTTGAAGTAATACTATTGATTAAAAATAATGTTAGTTAATTTTGCCTTTTAAAATAATATACACTTATTGTAGAAAAGTTAGAAAATATGGATAAGCAAGAGGAAGAAAATAAAATCATCCATCATTCCATTACCCAGTGGATAACTACTGATAACACATTGATGCAGATCTTCTCAGCTTGTTTTCTAAATTGTTACTTTCAGTAAAGGAATAGGATGAAGCCTGGGGGATGTCTTAAATGATGAGCTGCCCTTTGCAAGAGTAACCAGTCATTAAATCACAGTGCTCAAGGATTCATGGCAAACCTGACCTGGATCTAGGTGGGTGTTCACATCCATCAGCACTAATCCGGTGGCTAGACATTAGCAGCATCATTAACAGTGATAATACTTTTGCTAGACAGGTGTCAAACTAGGGTAGTGTCTTAGTCAGTTCGGGTTACTGTAACAGAAAACCATAAACTAGGTGGCTTAAACAACATAAATTTATTTCTCACCCTTCTGGAGGCTGGGAAGTCCAAGATCAAGATTCCAGCAGATCTGGTGTCTGGTGAGGGCCACTTCCTGGTTTGCAGGTGGCTATCTTTTGTTTGTATTCTTACATATCAGAGAGCAGAGAGAGAGAGGAGAAGCAAACCCTTTTGTGTCTTTTTTATAAGGGAACTAATTCCATTGACAAGGGCTCCACTCTCACGGCCTTTCAGAGGCCTACCTCCTAATACATTGGGGGTTAGGATTTCAACATACGAATTTTGGGAAGAAACAAACATTCAGTTCACAGCAGGCAGTTACTCTTGTTTGAAGCTAGACCCTAGACAGTGCTGTCTGGCATTTGGAAAAGAGGACGGAGACTGGGAAAGGAAATTCACATAAATTAGTAAACTTCTAGGATTCCAATCCTGGTACATAGTTGGGATGCAGAGCAGGAATCAGGTATGAGGACAGAGCACCTGGGGCAGGATAATATGAAGACTGTAGCCATTTGGGCATGAGGGAGGCTACTGGATTATCCAAGAACACTGCAGCCAGGACTTGGGGTGGCAAGACTCATTCTGGTCCACCTCCTGGTGGGGACTGAACTCCTAGTATATTGTCAATCTGGGTCAATTTGGTTTAGAAATCAGGAATAATTGAGCTGCCGGGCTGAAAGACTTAGTAGTTGTAGTTATGTAGGGCTGGGAAGGTAGGAAATGATAAATCCCAAACCCTTTGGAGCGGTGAGATCCCACCACAATCTACTTAATTTTGTGACCCATGTAACTGTTGTATGCCATATGTCTATATAGAATAATTAAAGCTAATTAGAATTAATTGTGGTTGGTGAGTGTTTGAAGAGTTTCATAATAACTCTAGAGATAATTAGAGATACTTTGGGATGTCACAAAAGAAGGATTTGGAATAATTTGACTAGATGTTTAAGCCAGCGTTGTGCACTGAAGGCTAGTAACAGAAGGACAATTCTATAATTGCAAGAACACTGAATCAGGAAGTAAGAGTTTGGGGTTAAAATCAGTATGCTGCTAAACAGGTTCTCTGAAAAAAACCAACAACCCACCAACAACCTCGCTTTGTAGCATTTGCCAATTTCTGTGGTGTAAATACTCCCACCATGGTGGATTTCAAGTTTTCCATGGTTTAACAACTGGCTCACATAATTCCTGAATATTTAATAATCAGCTCTTATTAACCTTGTGCAAGGCAGCTAGAGCACACCAGTGTAATTTTCACTGGACTTCTAGTTAACTTTGTGATCTTGGGTAAGTCATTTCACTTCTTTGGATCTTGGTTTTATCATCAAAAAAGCAAAGTTGCTAAAATAACCTCTAAGGTCCTTTTCAAAGTTAACATTCCGATAATGCAGCTGGTGTTATAGGGCAAGACTAATGTCACATTATATGCCAAAAGAGTGACATCAAGAACTTTTATGAATGTTATTGTGATATATCAGAACATATAATTTGATATCAAGTCAGTGTAATCATCACCCACGTTCTGATTCCTGCTGTCGATGTGTGTGTCCTTCTCTAGTTCCTCTTCCCAGAAGGATTAAAAACAACAGTGCAGCCATTAGAGAGCCAAACTTCACAGACCAAGAGTGAGGTAAGAAACCATTAACGGCTGGGCACGGTGGCTCATGCCTGTAATCCCAGCACTTTGGGAGGCTGAGGCGGGTGGATCACAAGGTCAGGAGTTTGAGACCAGCCTGGCCAACATGATGAAACCCCGTCTTTACTAAAAATACAAAAATTAGCCAGGCGTGGTGGCACGTGCCTGTAATCCCAGCTACTTGGGAGGCTGAGGCAGGAGAATTGCTTAAACCCGGGAGGTGGAGGTTGCAGTGAGCCGAGATTGCGCCACTGCACTACAGCCTGGGTGACAGAGGAAGACTCTGTCTTGGAAAAAAAAAAAATAAACCATTAGCTGCAGTCAGAGAATTCTACACTCAGTTGCTGGGTTCTAGAGTCAGCTGAGGGGCTGAGAGAAAATCCTGTAGCTTAGATACATGACCCTATACGACCATGAGACCCAAGAGGGTGGTTTTCCCTGGACTAGTAATGACAGATATGAGAGACTAATTTGTGTCTTTTATATTTATGTGTGTCAAATCCTGGCCCTTAATAGGAACACAGTAAGTATTTGTTGAGAGAAAGAATAAACCATTTGGGATTTTTTAAAATTCAGAATTTTAAAATATTAATTCAGAAGTAGTCATGTGTTTCTCCGTGTTTACCTTGATATTGCAGAAGAAATGTGTATTTCAAGTGCGAGAAACTACTTTCTTGTTATAATGGAAAACTTTTTAGTGCCTTCAGTTCAATATTGGGGATATAAATCTGCCTTCTAGCTAGATAACAGAATGTATTACACAACCAGAGCCCAATGGAGAGAAACATACATGAGAAAAACCCACACTGGGCAAACCAGGTGTTTACTCCCACCAGCGAACATGTCCCCTTCCCCATGCACCTCAACCAGTGGAATTAACTCCTCTCTTTGGAAAGGAAAAGATAATATTGATCTGCAGGGCATACTTACCTATATATCATGTGATGCTTTAGCAACATTTCATCCTCGTAATGACCCTCATAAGCTAAGCATTGCCATTCCCATTTTAAAGAAAAAGAAACTGAAACTCAGAGAGGTTAAGTAACAGAACCAGCTAGTGGAAGAGCCCCGGGTTAACACCCCAAAGGTGGTGTTTTTCGCGCCAGACCCGGCTGCCTTGGGGCTTCTGGACTTCCTCTTCCTGCTGTCTCTCTTCCGTGATTGCTGTGGGAATTTGAATGATTTCTCATGTGAGTGAACCTGGCTCAGTCCATGCTCAGGCAAACAGAAGCGCCAGTCTCTGACAGCGTTCAGAGCAAATTCTTCAAGTCAGGCGGGTCCCGCACTGCAGTATCTGGGCTGTACTTTGCCCTAATGAATCAGCTCCATGGAGGCTGGGCAGTTGCAAAGGTAACTGACATGCTGTAGATCTGAGGGCCCGGTGAGTCGTGGTAGATGTGGCACCTGGACTTTGACAGTCTCCAAGAGGAGAGGGGGCACTCTTAGGCCAGGTCCCTGGAGCAGCGCTGAAGGAAGGTGGGAAGCCATCGGAGCAGGTGTGTGGGAACACTTGCTCCCTTCTTTCCGTTCCTTGAGCTGGACGTGCTGTGCCGTCAGATTAGGAAAGGCGAGATGGCCTTTACCGGGGCGAGGAAAGGTCATTTATGTGAATGTGTGAGTGTGATTTGTCATCATGGATGTAATTCCTTCATTTTGAGAATCGAAGGTGCTATTTATTTGGTGTCCTTAATCTGAGGACTGATTTGCTGGAGTTGATGTGTCTTGGCAGCAAAGTGATGTGATTTCAGTGGAAAGATTGGGTGTTGCACTTTTCATTTGGGGAAGGGCTGCCTAGTGAGACTATCTGGGGACAAGGAGAAAGCAGGTTTCTTCTCATTCCGCTTACTTGGTCCAAATGGTTTTGAGTTCCAACAGCCTTCAGAAAAGGCTCATGTGCCCTTCCTTGTGTCTGGGACATTTGGCCTTTCCTGGGATTTGCTGGCAAAGGCTGTCATTGCACCTGGCTTTTTCAAGGGAGTGAGCTGACATGGGAAGGAAGCCACAGGTTCCCCTGAGTTGTGAGTGACCTTGAGGTGGGAGGCCTCCTCTGCACCTTGCTCTTCTTGTGTGTTCTGCTGTCTCATAGCTCTTGGCTCATAGCTGTCGACCCTGGCTCCCTGGTGTTTGAGCAGAGTGACGTCTCGATTTCAACACCCACCCTTTTGACCTTTTGTTCTGATATGAATTTTTATGTGAGGCTGGGACCTTTAGTAGTGGAAACAAGTTAACTGATTTGATCAGAATCTTGCAACCTAAAACAGTTCCTAAGGAAGAAAAAATCGAGGCCGACCTAGCCTGTGGATGCTCCTGACACAAGAGAATCCTGAGCAAGAGTAAGATCTGAGGCGTGCTTTCCTTTGGCGGGTGCAACCCCTGCCCCTCACCACCCCGTGCTATGAGCAGAGGAACCTGGAAGGTAATCAGTCCTTGGAGCAATTTTCCTTTTTCAGGAATACGTGGGGACTTGGGGGAAAATTAGTTTGATGCTAGGGAGACTTCCAGGATTTAAATCTCCAGCCAGGAAGAATCCTGAGACATGGCCTTCTAATTTTTTATGTAAACAATCCCAAATTTGCCTCTTGTTGGCTTCTCTGGAGGAGCAGGGATGACCATATTATATAGGTTCTAGTTCTTTGGGGGGTTAACGTAAGGATTCAGAAAAGGTGCTTCTTGAAAAGGTCAGTCTAAACTCCTTTTTCTTTTCTTTCTTTTTTTTTTTTTGAGACGGAGTCTTGCTCTGTTGCCCAGGCTGGAGTGCAGTGGTGCGATCTCCACTCACTGCAAGCTCCGCCTCCCGGGTTCACGCCATTCTCCTGCCTCAGCCTCCCGTGTAGCTGGGACTACAAGTGCCCGCCACTGCGCCCGGCTAATTTTTGTATTTTTAGTAGAGACGGGGTTTCACCGTGTTAGCCAGGGTGATCTCGATCTCCTGACCTCGTGATCCGCCCGTCTCGGCCTCCCCAAGTGCTGGGATTACAGGCGTGAGCCACCATGCCCGGCCTAAACTTCTTTTTCTTTAGTAAACATCTTCAGCCACTCATACTACCCTCATCTTTATCTTTGATAACACTACTATTTATTGAGCACTTTAACATGTTGGGTAACATGTCAGGCACTTTGCAGAGGTTATCTTTAACTCTGTCAATAACCTTGCGAGGTAGTCATTACAGTCTCTATTTCATGGGTAAGGAAATTGAGGCTTGAAAAAATGAACTAGCTAGTTAAGTGGCAGAGTTAGGATTTGAACTCTAATCTAGCTCTCTGCAAGACCCACTCTATTTATGATACCACAGGGCCTCCACTGTAAGTGTTAAATAAACACTTGCTGGGGGAATATGTGAAGAAACATCAACTGGGATTCCTTGATAGCATTTTTAGCTGTACCTATTACTGTTATCTGTCTCCCATGCCTCCCCCATCTGTCGTTGTTCCAAATGTACTTTTTAATTTTTTAAGCAATATCAATATAATTGTCTAGTCTGTTATTTGCTTCATGTATCTGAGATTTTTTTTTCAGATTTCTCTGTATCCATGACCATATGGTTTGTTTTAGATAGATTTTGAGGACCATAGCTGCTCTTTTCACAAAACCTAATCAACCACTATGTTTGGATATAGGTTTCAAATGATTATTTTTTTCCTTTTTCTTTTGTCTGCAGGAAGATAAAATAACTACACAACTTACTCAAAACCCAAGACAAATTCAGAGAGTCAGTGATGGAACTTTGGGCTCCCCAGAGGCTGCCCCAGACACGAGGGAAGGTCACAACACCCTCAAAGGATCCAGACCGAGGGTTTCGGAGAGATGGACATCATCGGCCTGTCCCTCACTCTCGGCACAATGGAGAGAGGTTTCACCAATGGCAAGACAACCGTGGGAGCCCCCAGCCACAGCAGGAGCCCAGGACAGACCATCAACAGTCCCATTATGCCTCCAGGCCTGGGGACTGGCATCAGCCTCTGTCTAGAATTGACTATTACAAAAGTGGTTATCCCAGTCAGTTGTATTCAAGGTATGGCTTTAGGGCTTGGAATGAATGCAACTCTCCTAAATGCTTCTGAATAGATTGTTCTTTTCCTTCTTCCTTTTCCTTTTATTTTTCTCCCCATTTTTTCTTTTTCCTTCTCTACCTTACTACATGGCTTTAGCTAAATCCTGTCCTCTCCCAAATTTGTTTCTGATGACTGAAGATAGTATTTCTCTCCTCTTTATTCCCTAGTGGAGCTTCTTAAAGAAGCCATCACAAATGCAATTGAGTATTGGGGGTTTGGGGGGGCAGTGTAGAGGGAAGAAAAAGTGGTGAAATTCAAAAGAGCAGATGGAACCCTCTTGCTCTGGGATTGCAAAAGGTAGTATATGTAGACTATGGAAAAGCTTTTCTTGGAGATCCCTATAAGGAGTTCCTCATTGTCATTAGACCACTCTGCCTTGGGATTAGCATGACACCACCGGCACCAAGAAGAGTCCTAGTGCCTACCACAGTACCCGGAATGTAACAGGCATACCAATAATCCGTATTGAATGAATGGGAACTTTAAAAAAAATCGACCTTAGGGAAAGCAGATAGAAACTTGGAGGCTGCAAGTTCGGAAGGAAGAGGTTGCAGTGAGGTCATTCTATTCAGGTTGGAGAATCTGGAATTCCTGTTTCCCTGGTCTGTAGCACTGGACTTAATATTTCACGGAATGTTGGAAGCCATCTATGTTCTACTTTAGGGGTAATATTTACCTGCTTACAGATTCAGGGTTGAAATTACGACTATTATTATAAAGAAATTTGTCCCTAAGAAATACTAAAAAATTACTAATTGGGCTAGGTGCAGTGGCTCACGCCTGTAATCCCAGCACTTTGGGAGGCCAAGGCAGGCGGATCATCTGAGGTCGGGAGTTCAAGACCAGCCTGTCCAACATGGTGAAACCCTGTCTCTACTAAAAATACAAAACGAAACAAAACAAAATTAGCTGGGCGTGGTGGTGCACACCTGTAATCCCAGCTACTTGGGTAGCTGAGATGTGAGAATCACTTGAACCTGGGAGATGGAGATTGCAGTGAGCCGAGATCATGCCACTGCACTCCAACCTGGGTGACAGAGTGAGACTCTGTCTCAAAAAAAAAAAAAAAAAATTACTAATTGATAAAAACATTAGTATTATGATGGTCCTCTCCCCAATCTTTTTGGATTGTTGAATTCTCAAAGAGAGGCATGTTCAGGACAGAGGCAATAAAAGTAATCAGACTTAAGATAGTCCAGTCTGACTTTTTAATCTCAATTCCATCTGGAATAAGCATGGAAGTTACGGTGGTGTATTGGAGACTTAACACAGTCATCTCAGGAAGTGATTTTCTCAGATAATGTCAGGACAGAGTGTTCTAAGATAATATGTATGTATTTGGGGAGTGAGAGTTTTACTATAAAGTAAAAGAGTTTTAAATAAAAAAGAGGTTTTTAGAAAAGAGTTTTAAGTAAAAAAATTTTACTATAAAAATTCTACTCTTGTTATGCAACAAAGGCCTGACTCCTGCTCTGATTCTGTTTCTGTTTATAGGATCTAGAATTAACCATGGCTTTCAAGCAGATTCTAGGCTGGGTCACAACTCTGTCCTCTGAAGCTGTTTAGTTTGTCAAGTCTTCCATTGGTTTCTGTCTTTACCACCCTTGTCCTCAACTGACCAGTCTTCTTTGTGCTATTTTAGGCCAGGGTATGAGAATTCATATCAGGGCTATCACTCTCCCACAACGAGGGAGGAATATGCTTATGGAAGTTACTACTATCACGGACACCCGCAGTGGCTGCAGGAAGAAAGAGGTATGGAAAAGTCTCCAAGAAGCCTCTGGGATTTGGGGATGGGGCAGCTGGTCTGAGAGGCAGGGGAGAGACCGACGGAGCCATGTTCAGACTCTCACCTTGGGCATCTTTTCTTGGCCAGACGAGACCACAGCAGAAACACTCCTCCTCGATGTCCTGAGAAGAGACTAAAGGAGTTGTTTTCCTTTGTTTGCATAGATGATGGTACTGTTACTAGTACTATGGGTAGTTTGCACTTCATCCACATTTTTTCTTCTACTTTGCCTTATAGCCAAGATTATAGTCTTCGACCAAGTAACAGTGAAGTCAGTTCTTAAGGACATCTGCTGGGCTATAGTAGGAGTCTGTCACTTCACCCTGAGGACAGCAGATATGCACCCAAAGGAGTGTTCTCCCCTATACTAATAAGTATAGGGTGTGTCTTAATGGCAGCGTCTGAACTGCTAGCAAAGATAAATCTGTTTCAACATTGAACACACACACACACACCCCTACCTGCCCCCCACACACGTACACACCAATCCCCATCGTTGTGTGGTTGTATAGATCCACGCTAATTAGTTCAGAGGGGACTGAGAGGCGTCCTATGGACTTTCATCATTAGCTCTTACCTATCTATTTTTTCAATTTGGAAAATATGTTTTTAGATCTACTGTGCTCTAGGAACTCCTCACAGCTCACTAATATCTTTCTAAGAACTTTCAGAAATAGGAAGTGACCTGTCTTGATTCTGTTTTCTCTGAGGGTGCAGTGCCAAGGCAAAGGAGTCCTTATATCTGGCATGAAGATTACCGAGAGCAAAAGTACCTTGATGAACATCATTATGAAAACCAGCACAGTCCATTTGGAACAAATAGTGAGACCCACTTCCAGTAAGTGCAAAAGGAGAGGCCAGTTTGACATGATGTTGTCAAACTCAGACTATGTTGGGCAAATCTTCTGGCGTCTGATGCTGGTCTCTTACCTCCAGAAGCCTGCGTACCTTTGTTTCAGCCACAGGGATATGGGAGTATCCAAGGATGGTCCTGGTCCACTGTTAATATGGACCCTGGGAAGAGAGATTCTTATCACTGAGAGTCTGTTCCCAAAGCTGGGCAAGTCTGAGTCCTGTGAGGTTCCCTGAGGTCTGTCCTAAAGGAGGACTTTAATTCTGTGTTGGCCTCAGAACAGATATGGCCTAGAAAAAGCTCTCATGATTAGGTCATGAGAACCTACCTGGGGCTGGGGTGCTTCTCCTCAGCCTACGCCTGAGCCCTGAGAATGGGCCATCTCCCCGTGATAAGACAACACAGGGAAGAGAGTTTTGCCCAAGCATCTGTCCTGGTGCTCGCAGCTCTGGAATTCACCAACCTAAACACTCTGATGTAAGTCATTCCAGAATGTCAGGCTGTAGAGACCAACCCTTCTCATCAGGACCTGAGGCCGCTTCCAGCCACTGAGCTGTGGAACTCAAGCACTCCTGCTTTTCCTGGGATTAGTAGATTGAGGTGGCGAGTGGGAGGAAAATGCTTTCTCCTATGGCACCCAGGCTGACATGGCACCTGACCATGCTTTGGAGCAGGTCAGCTTCCAGCGGAGAGTGTTTCAGCCTTGCGGGCTTGCCCAGGACCCCGCTCACTGCTCCTGTCATTTTGCTGCAGATCTAACAGTAGGAACCATTATAAAGACAGCCCTGCTTCCAACTCTGGACAGGAGTGGCCTGGGGAGCTGTTTCCAGGGAGCCTGCTTGCTGGGGCCCAGAAAACTAAGGTAACCTAAAGTGACGTGGGGGCTGGAGACTGTGTCCATGTGTCGAAGCTGACACTGTCAGCAGTGGCAGAACAGGGCCCTTGGGGATGGATGTCCAGCGGCCAGCCGTCTGGAGGACCCATTCCTTCCCTCTTAGCAGAACCTCCACCCATGCCTTCCTTTCTTCCCTCCTTACTGCCTCAGTTTAGGCAACCGAGGCCCTAAACTGAACTCCTTTGCATTTTCAGCAAATTGAGGGGATCGAGAAAGGTCACCCAGCTCACTCCAACACACTGGGAAAGAGAGGACGCTGTCATCCAGGTGTTAGGTGTTAGGGACCCCAGGGGACTAGCAATTTGGTTTAACCCAGGAAGAGGGAAGTTGCTAGAATCTTTGAATTCAGGTTTGAGAAGCAGGGCTTGAAACCTTTTCTAACTCTTCATTCATCCCTCTCCTCTAAAAATCTTATTATATGCACCAGCTGGGCCACAAAATGGAGATCTTTTTTAAAATACACTTTTTATTTTAGAATCATTTTAGATTTGTGGAAAATTTGCAAATATACTACAGAGATGGTTCTTTTCTTTTGAGACAGAGTTTCACTCTGTTGCCCAGGCTGGAGTGCAGTGGCACAATCTCGCCTCACTGCTACCTTCATCTCCTGGGTTCAGGCGATTCTCCTGCCTCAGCCTCCTGAGTAGCTAGGATTACAGGCACCCCCCACCACGCCCAGCTAATTTTTGTATTTTTAGTAGAGACGGGGTTTCACCATGTTGGCCAGGCTGGTTTTGAACTCCTGACCTCGTGATCTGCCCACCTTGACCTCCCAAAGTGCTGGGATTACAGGTCTGAGCCACCATGCTCAGCCAGAGATCAGGTCTTAATTTTGAAAGTCTTGTATTAATCTTGTCTCCCTTATTAGGTTTGTATGATTTTTGAGGTCAATTTCTTTTGTATACTTAGTGCTTAATAGGGTAGGGCACATATGATTATGACTAATAGTAACAATACAATGACAGCAGCCACATACACATGTACAGCACTTTACAGTGTACAAGAGCTTTACTTTTTATTTTATTTTATTTTTTTGAGACAGAGTCTCACTCTGTTGCACAGGCTGGAGTGCAGTGGCACAATCTCGGCTCACTGCAACCTCCACCTCCCTGATTCAAGTGATCCTCCTGGCTCAGCCTCCCTAGTAGCTGGGACTACAACTGTGTGCCGCCATGCCCAGTTAATTTTTGTAGTTTTTAGTGGAGATGGGGTTTCACCATGCTGGCCAGGTTGGTCTGGAAATCCTAACCTCAGGCGATCTGATCCTCCTGGGTTGGCCTCCCACAGTGCTGGGATTACAGGTGTGAGTCCCTGGCCTGGCCCAAAGAGCTTTTGAATTAATTATTTTACTTGTATGCACACAAGATGTAAACTCAATGAATTTCTTTCTTTATTTCTTTAGAGACAGAGTTTTGCTCTGTCACCCAGGCTGGAGTGTAACAGCATGGTCATAGCTCACTGCAGCCTTGAACTCCTGGGCTCAAGTGATCCTTCCACCTCAGCCTCCCAAGTCGCTGGGGCTATAGGTGTGCATCACCATGCCCAGCTAAATTTTTTTATTTTATTTTATTTTTTTTTGTAGAGATGAGGTCTTGCTATGTTGCAATTTGGGGTCTCAAATTCCTGGGCTCAAGTGATTCTCCTGCTTTGGCCTACCAAAGTGCTGGGATTACAGGTGTGAACCATCATACCTGGCCCCATGAATTTCTTTACACCTGCATCCAAGGGGAAAGCATGGCACCTAGAGCATAATAGGTGCTCATTAAACAGTCAGTGAATGAGGGCCGGGCATGGTGGCTCATACCTGTAATCCCAGGGCTTTGGGAGGCTGAGGCGGGCAGATCATGATGTCAAGAGATCGAGACCATCCTGGCCAACATGGTGAAACCCCGTTTCTACTAAAAATACAAACATCAGTTGGAGTGGTGGTGCACCTGTAGTCACAGCTACTTGGGAGGCTGAGGCAGGAGAATCTCTTGAACCCAGGAGGTGGAGGTTGCAGTGAGCTGAGATCGTGCCATTGAACTCCAGCCTCATGACAGAGCGAGACTCTGTCTCAAAAAAAAAAAAAAAAAAGTTGATGAATGAATACATGAATTACTTGAAGTATATAGGGCAGATATGATTATATCGCAGATGAAAGCACTGAGCTCAGAGAGCCTAAGTCACGTGTCCAGGGGCACAGCAGCTGAGTATAAGACAAAGCCGAGATTTGAATTCAAGGGCCCCTGACCCCAAGGCCTCCGCTCTTTCCATTGGGTCATAATATATCCTTTGGCAAATGCCTATCAACTTGATTTTCTCTTTTTCTCCTTTCAATACATCCACTTTCACTGTATGTGTTTTGTTTCTTTGAAAGAACGCTTGAGAAGACCAGCTCTCTGAAACTTCTTCCTATGTGTTTGTATTGTTTTTAACTTTCAGCCATCACTGGCTAGTGAGTCCAACCTTCTCCAGCAGCGTGAGTCTGGTCTCAGCTCCAGCAGCTATGAGCTCAGTCAGTACATCACAGATGCCCCCGAGCGGGATGATCCCCCAGCTTCAGCAGCTTGGAGTCCAGTTCAAGCTGGTGGGTTCTAAAATGATCACAAGAGTTGGTTGAATCTGATGTGGAAAGGCTGGGTGGAAAGTCTCTGGGAAAGTCAGCCTTATGGTGGATCATTGTCCACCGCATTTGCTTATGTATGTCTCTGGGGCAGAGAGGTCAACTTTGGTTCCATTTTCTATCTTTTTGCTTGTAATAGTAATTGCATCATAGCTGATTCCTGGAAGGGAACACTGCCCCTATCCATCATCAGGTTGGGAAAGGAGGCACTCAGTGGTGCTTTTAAGAAAGGGAAGACCAGAGAGAATTAGGAAAAGCAAAAGCAAGACGCAAAGCATCATTGCTTTGTCTGGATGTAGGAACTTTGTCATGAGTATAGAGGCCACAGAAGCCAGAGACTCCTTGGCCTCTCAACATCACTGAGAGTCTGGGCTGAGTGCATTATCATTTGGACTGAATCATCAAGCCCATGCATTGTATTATGACACATTCTCAGAGGCTTAAATCTGACTGGAGCAGGGAACATGGGCTTCTTCTAATTACACAACCCACCCAGAATCTTATTTTGGTTCAGGCAGAATTTGGGCAGAAATACGTCCGTGGCATATTCCTGAACTAAAGAAAAGTGATGGAAGTAATGCTAACAATGTCCATCTGTGTCTGTTGGTCAGAGGATGTCTCCTCAGCTGGTCCCAAAGCGCCCATGAAGTTCTACGTTCCTCATGCTCCTGTGAGTTTCGGGCCAGGAGGTCAGCTGGTGTGTGTAGGTCCCAGCTCTCCCACTGACGGGCAAGCAGCCCTTGTTGAACTGCACAGCATGGAGGTAAAGAAGACCCAGTGTTCCTGGAATGCCGGCACACTGCTTACCTAACTACTCCTAACGTGCTTACCTTGCTTTCCTGTGCCTGAGCTGGGGCATCTCCGGGAATGGGATGCTCTTGTGGAAACTGGGCCAGGTACCCCCTGGATTAGGGGGTGCAGGAATGGGTGGGGCTCTTCTCTGAAAGAACTGATGCTAGAGTTATGTTTTTCCTGAGATGTCAGTGGCTCATCTTTAGCAACAAGATTCACTTTTTCCTTTCTGCTTTCTCCACAAGGCCTTGAGCCACATCCTAGCCCCACGGCCCTGGGGTCTGATACTAGACTTGACTGAAAGGGGCCTAGGGTGGACACAGTCTTAAAGTAAAATCTGATTGTTTTATTGCAGGTTATTCTTAATGATTCCGAAGAGCAAGAGGAGATGAGAAGTTTCTCAGGACCCTTGATTAGGTAAAGTGCTGTAAGAGCTGCTGAGTAAGGGCAATCTTCCTGCTCAGATCAGCATTTTGGAGATATGTTCTTGGTTTCCTTGGAAAAAAAAGTCCGTCCTTGTTGGAGTGGAATTCTCTGTGCTACAAGATAGAACCAGATGTGGCCTGAGTCATTTTGACAAGCCATTCAATAGTTGAAGGACAGAAAGCAAAATTAGCATGACAGTTTAGAAATCTAAAACCAGTTCCATTTTGCAGAGGCTGCATGGTAGGAAGTTTTAGTGTTCTGTGTGCTTGATAGATGTTAGCAGAAAAGTGGAGCATCGCCTGGGAAGTCCCTGACGAGTGGATCATAGCAGAAACAATTCTTGTGACAGTGGCTTTTTCCTGGAGAGGTAGATAAGATCGGCAGTGTTCAAGTTACGGAACAGTGTGCGAGTGAGCCCTCTGCAGTACTCAGCTAGGACTGCTTTTAAATATTTAGTTATATTCCTGATAAATGTAACTCAGGGCATCTTTGTTGAGCAGAGAGTCCTTGCTGGATGACAGCCAACATGGGTCTCAGGCTCGGGCATCCTATGTACTAGGAATACCATGGTGGACAGGTCAGCCCTCTCTGAACCTTAGTTTTCCCCCTGGAAGTGGTATAACACCTGCTCTCCCTACCCGAGGCTTGTCTGTGAGTCTCAAGTGAGATTATGCACATGGAAAGTATCATCACTACTATATAAATGTATTCCTCTTATGGCATCTGACAGTTCCCTCAAGTAAAAATGAGTGTTCTCTCTGTTTCTTACACACGGGTATACAGATATGGGTCAAAAAAGTGAATTGGGTTATTCAAAGACTGGGGTACTAAGCCTAACTTGGCTTTGATGTTATTGGATGATCTTGAGCAAATCATAATGCCAATCATATTGATCACTTAATACATGCCACACAATTTTCTAATTCCTTTTTGTATGGAGGTAGGTTCTTTTACTGTCCCTATTTTAGGGGACAAAGCTGAGGCTCAGAGGAGGTAAGAAACTTGTCTAAACAGAGAAGTGGCAGACCAAGATTTAGACCCAGGGTTGTCTGACTGCAAAGTCTGCTTTTACTTGCTATCCTGTGCAGTGACTTCAGGTCTCTGGGCCTCTGTTGCTTTATCTATAAAATGGAGGGGGTGCATGAGAGAATCTCTGAAATTTCTTCCTGTTCTATAAGAAAATAACTATCCTATAGCTATAGACTCATTACCCTAGCCCTGGCTTGTCAGATTTCTATCTCAACCACAGCCCAGCCAGCACTTGCACACTTAGGAGGAGCCTGGGGTCCGAAACAGGGAAGTGTCTGCCTGCTCACTCTTCGCTCCCTAAATTTTTTCCATGTAGGGAAGATATACATAAGGTGGATATTATGACGTTTTGCCAGCAGAAAGCAGCTCAGAGCTGCAAATCTGAGACACTGGGGAGCAGAGACTCGGCTCTACTGTGGCAGCTCTTGGTTCTCCTTTGTCGCCAGAATGGGGTAAGTTACTGTTTTGGTGGGAGAGCAGGTGCAGGCTGAAATTTAAGTCTTCATGGGATAGATAAGATTATGTTTATGGCATGATTATGAAAAGCAATGGTAAAGAAGCCACAAATTGCCCCAAGGGGAAAAATTGTTCAAATGTCAATGCCAGTTTGCTAATGCAAATCTTCCCTGATGATCTTCCTTGGTCTGGGAATATTGTAGTTTCTGAGTTATTGCACCAGCCAGGTAATATACCTGTGAAATTGTAAATGTTTCTGGTAAGCTTTGTGGCTCCTGACAGGCAGAAAATAACCATGATAGTGATGCTGAAGTTTGAAATATAGCAATCTAAGAAAGGACTGCCTTATGTTTGCATAATTGGACTCCTCGCGAAGAAGGCAGGCTCCCTGCTGCCTTCCTTCTCCAGCTGGGGCGGCCAGCCTGAGGACCCATAGGATTCTCCTCAGATGATCCTCTTTGCCTTACAGTCCATGGTGGGGTCTGACATTGCTGAGCTGCTAATGCAAGACTGCAAGAAGCTGGAGAAGTACAAACGGCAGCCCCCTGTGGCCAACCTCATCAGCCTGACCGATGAGGACTGGCCAGTGCTGAGCTCTGGGACCCCGAACCTGCTCACCGGAGAGATCCCCCCCAGTGTGGAGACACCTGCGCAGATCGTGGAGAAATTCACTAGACTGCTCTACTATGGAAGGAAGAAGGCAAGTATGCCCTTCGCCCAATCCCTCTCCACCAATCACCCCTGCTCCAATTATGTGAATAGTATATACTCATTTCAGGGAGGATGCGAGAAGTTCAAAAAGAAACAGAAAGAAAATAAAAACACCCACAGTTCTACCATTAAAATACAATGAACTATTAAATGAAATAAGCCAGGTACAGAAAGACAAACATCACATGTTCTCACTTATTTGTGGGAGCTAAAAATCAAAACAATTGAACTCACGGAGATAGAGAGTAGAAGGATGGTTACCAGAGGCTGAGAAGGGCAGTAGGGGAGGGTGGGAGGGAGGTTGGGAGGGTTAATGTGTGCAAAAAAAAAATAGAATGAATATGACAGTATTTTACAGCACAACAGGGGAACTACAGTCAATAATAATTTAATTATACTTTTAAAAATAACTAAAAGAGTATAATTGGATTGTTTGTAACACAAAGGATAAATGCTTGAGGGGATGGATACCCCATTTATCATGATGTGATTATTAAACGTTGCAAGCCTGTACCAAAATATCTCATATATTTTACTCCATAAATATATATACCTACTATGTACTCATAAAAATTAAAAATAAAAAAATAAAAAATTGAAAAGATTATACCTGTTAACATTTTGATATATTTACTTCCAGCATTTTTCCATGCATATATATTAAAAAGAAAATAAAATTGCATATACAATCGTTTATTTCTGTTTTTAAACTTAAGACGATATGGTAAAATACCCTCATGGCATTAAATATGCTCCAACAGCACCATTTAAAAAATAGTTATACAATATTCCATCATATTAATGTATCATATTTTATTTAGCTATTCTACTATTATTGAATATGTAGACTATTTACAATTTTGTCAACCATTATAAATTATATAATTTACACATCTTGTTACATGAGTCTTTGTCTGATCTTTTAAATTTTTTAGGACAGATTCCTAGAAGTGGAATTACTGGGTATATAAATGGTATGCACTTTTAAAAGGTTCTTTATATATATACCAAATTAATTTCCAGGAAGTTTGTTTACAAATACTCCTTCTGCTATATCTAAGGCTTCCTATCAATATTGAATACAGATGCTCCTCGACTTACAATGTTTATATCCCAATAAACCCATCATTAAATAGAAAATATCATAAGTTGAAAATGCATTTGATACACCTAACCCAACATCATAACTTAGCCTAGCCTACCTCACATGTACTCAGAATGTTTACCTTAACCCACAAAATCATCTAACCCAGAGCCTGTTTTTTAATAAGGTGCTAAATATCTCATATAATTTATTGAATATGTTACTGAAAGTGAAAAACAGAATGGTTGTATGGGCACTTGAAGTACAATTTCTACCAAATGTGTATTGATTTCACACCATTGTAAAGTCAAAAACTCATAAAGCAGGGACTGTCTGTACTTTAAACAGATGAAGATTGATTTCTAGCTCAATTTTGAGGTTGAGATTATACTTTACAAAAGTCATAAAAATTTAAGTGTTTGGATAGATAATTAAAATCAATTTGAATCAATTTCATTCAAAAATTAAAATATAAAAAAGACCTAATTGGGAAATGATGCTCCTATCCCCTAGTCACCCAATTTTTCTCTCTGAAATATCCAGAGAAATTTTATGCTTATATTGTTATTTTCTCTTTGTTAAAAAATAGCATACTGTATACCATTTCTGTACCTTCCCTTTTCCATTTTACAAAATACCTCAGAAAACACTCTATATTAGGGTTGCCAAACTTTTTCTATAATTGGACAGATGTAAAAAATGTAAAATGTAAACATTTTACATTTTGCAGGCCATGGGGCCTCTAGTACAACTACTCAGCTCTGCCCTTATAGTGTGAAAGTGGTCACAGAAAATATGTAAATGAATGGGTGTGGCCGTGTTTCAGTAAACTCCATTTATAGACATAGAAATTTGAGTTACCGTATAATTATAATGCATAGTGAAATTAAAAAAATTTTTTTTCCAATCACTTAAAAAGGCAGTAACTATTCTGAGGCTATGGCCTGTACCAAAATAGGCAGTGTGTTGGATTTGGCCTTTAGGCCATATTTTGCTGACCTCTGCTCTATAGCCTATATAAATACCTTTCTCATTATTTCTTACATTGGCAAAGTTTTCTACTGATAAATTATAATTAATTTAACTAAACCCCATATAGCTTGACATTAAGAGTACTTCCAGTCTTCTGCAGTTACAATGTTGCAATGAATAACCACTGTCCTTTTGCCCAGTGTGAGAGAATATATGTAAGATAAATTTCTAGAGGCAGAGTGTTGGGTCAAAGGATATGGTTTGTAATTTTGATAGATACTGACAAATTGCCTTTTAGAGGTTGTGCCAATTCACTCTACCAGCAATGCAAGAGAGTGCCTGTTTTCCTACATTCTCACCACAGTGTGTTTCAAACTCTTTGATAGGTGCCAATCTGAGAAGTGAAAAAAGTCTGGATGTGGTGACTCACACCTGTAATCCCAGCACTTTGGGAGGCAGGCAGATTACTTGAGGCCAGGAGTTTCAGACCAGCCTGGGTGACATGGAGAAACTCCATCGATACAAAAAATATAAAAATTAGCCAGGCCTGGTGGCATGGCCTGTAGTCCCAGCTACTTGGGAGGCTGAGGCATAAGAATTGCTTAAACCTGGGAAGTGGAGGTTGCAGTGAGCTGAGATCATGCCACTGCACTCCAACCTGGGTGACAGAGAGAGACTGTCTCAAAAGAAAAAATTATCAGCTAATTTAAATTTTTTTTGTAGATATGGGGTCTTGCTGTGTTGCCAGGGCTGGTCTCAAACTCCTGGGCTCAAGTGATCCTCCCCCTCAACCTCCCAAAGTGTAGGGATTACAGGTGTGAGCCACCACACTAGGCCTGCATTTCTCTTATTGAAATGAATATGTTCAATTCAATTCAATTCAATTCAAAATGAATTCAATGAAGTTGAATATTTTTTAATCTGTGAATTTTTTGTCATTGATTTCCTGCATTTTTCTATTGAGTCTCTGATCCTCACTTATTGATTTGTTGGAGCTCTTTATGTTTTTAGGGCTTTCTGTGTAAAATTGTAAGTTTCTGGGGGTCATATTTAGAAAGGCTTTTTCTACTTCAAAATTAATTTATAAAAATGAAGTTGAAGTACTTTTCGTTTTTACATTTAAATATTTAATTTCTTGTTTTTGTATATGATACTATCTTTTATTTTTTTAATTGACAAAAGTTGTATATATGTATAGTATACAACATGATATATATGTGTATATATACATACACACTGTGGAATGGCTAAATGGAGCTAGTTAACATATGTGTCACATCACATATTTATCATGTTTTTTCTAATGAGAACACTTAAAATCTCCTCTCTTAGTGATTTTCAAGTATACTATACATTGGTATTTACTGCAGTCTTGATGTTCAAGTGCTACGAAACTTTTGCTAAAGAGATGAGGCTAACTGGCAACCATGTCTGATGGGAAGCTGATGGAATAGCACAGTGGATTTTGATAAAGTGAAGGCTGGTGAAGGTGACATCCTAGAGAAAAACACTATGCTAGCTACAACCTGCTTCCTGGCTGTTCACATTCTTATATGAGGCTCTAAGAATTTTCTGGAAGCCCAGCCTCCGCTGCTCAGGATGCAGCAGTGCCTAAGCACAGGAACTTGTTGTGAGTGGAAGGTGGGAAAGGCACTCTTGAATGTGATGTTTTGGTTTTCAGGAAGCCTTGGAGTGGGCCATGAAGAACCACTTGTGGGGCCATGCTTTGTTCTTGTCCAGCAAGATGGACCCACGGACCTACAGCTGGGTCATGAGTGGGTGAGTTGGAACTTAACAAAAGAGACCAGTGGGGCAGAGAGGCCTCCTCACCAAAGGTGGAGGATGAGGGTGTGGAGAAACGCCAGATGCACTGAGGAGCCTCCCACTCCAGGGATCTTTCCATGTTCTCTTTTCTGAGCTGGACATAGCATTTCTCTGTTTTAGACACAGATACATTCTTTCTACCTGCTAAATTGAATACAGAGTTTTAGTAAAATTGCCCAGGGTGAGAGTTTCCAAAAATTAAATAGATTTTTACATTGCAGTAGCCTTCTCTCTTTGGGAGCGGCTGTTCCAGCTAGTTCTGGTAATGAGGGGTAGGTGATCACTTCCTTAGAGCCTTGGGACTGAGGGTCTTTGACGTAAGCAGTTGTCTACTGTTTATACTTGTGATGAGGTCTGGGTACTGAGAGTAGGGTAGGGGTGTGGGGTAGCAGGGTCGTGAGCTGTGGTAGGAAAAGGAGTTTTTGCACTGGCAGTGAGATCCAGAAGTCTGCATCGGCGGCAGTGGGAGGTGTTGAGACTAAAGAGATGTGCTTAGTCAGAAATGACGTCAGCACACTGTGATCTGGGTGCCAGCGGGGACCAGGAAAAATGCCCAAACCAGGATGAGCTAGGGATGGAAGCAAGGGTCCATAACCAGGAGTTTGGAATAAGGAGATGAAACAGAGTGAAAGAAAGCCAGGATCAAATAGGGGTGCTGGATGGAGAAGGCTTTCTGAATAAGTCCTTCAGGCTCCTCTTAGCATCCACGGGTTGGCAGGGACAAATGTGGTGGGTGGGGTGAGGGACCCTCCTGTAAGGGGCAGACTTGGGTCAGACAGCAAGAAAGATGCTACCTCAAAGTGTTGAGCTTCTAGTGCTGGTTAGAGCTGTGAAGGAAGCTATCCTCTCAGCTGAACTTACATTTGAATTGGCCGTAAATCCTGTTGGGCAGAGGTTGAATTAGAAGATGACACTTCCGTCGGCACGGTGGCTCACGCCTGTAATCCCAGCACTTTGGGTGGCCGAGGTGGGTGGATCACCTGAGTTCAGGAATCTGAGACCAGCCTGGCCAACATGGTGAAACCCCGTCTCTACTAAAAATACAAATATTAGCTGAACATGGTGGCGGGCGCCTGTAATTCCAGCTACTCTGGAAGCTGAGGCAGGAGAATCGCTTGAACCTGGGAGGTGGTGGTTGCAGTGAGCAGAGATCACATCATTGCACTCCAGCCTGGGCAACAAGAGCAAAACTGCATCTCAAAAAAACAAACAAACCAACAAACAAAAACACTTAACACTTCCATGTTAAGTTCAGTCCAAGGGCCTAATGACTGCACCACTGGTGGGCCCATTCTGGATGATGGCCTTGGTTGAGTCTCATGACGACTCCACCCTTCAGTCTTCCTGGAGACTGGAATGGGGAGGAACACAGAAGTTGTATTATGATACATGCTTGGAGTTCCGGTGGCAAGGGTGCTGTTAAATAAAGGACGGTGTTCTGAGGATGATTTTCCTTTGGGCTTTGAAAATGAACATCCCACAGCCCCACATTGTAGCATACATCTCTGCTACAGATTTTTGCCTTGGGCCATTGATTTTTGATGGAGCCCAGTGAATTGTGAAAAATACCTCTCACTGAGTAAGCTTAAATCTCAAATCAGCTGTAGAGCTTATTATATCCTTGTTAAGCATATCCCATGGTTTGTCATCAGCAGGATCATTTCTGGCCCCTGTTCCACGCCTCTTTGGTTACTGAAAATGGCTATTTAGTGCTTGTGAGCAAAAGCACTACAGACCCAGGCTCTTGATGAGCCAGAAAAACGGCACTGAGTGCTGTGGGCTTGGTGTGGAGGAGGGCTGCAGGGAGTGGGAGATCGGGGTGGCTGGGAAGGGGGTGCCTATGGAGAAAAGCTTCCAGATAAACTGCTGTGGCTCTCCAGGGGACCTTTGAGATGTCAATGGGTCATCTCAGTGATGGAAGAAGGCCCACAGAAATGGTTATTCCAGAGTTAGGCCATTAAGACCAAGGTGCAGAAAATACCCCCAACAATGAGATCTAGCTGGGGTGTGCGGTAGATTGAGGACCCTGCCATCTCTCCTCAAAGGAGGATGTGACAGAGGCATGGCAGAAAGTAAAGAGATGTTCACGTTCCTAAGGAAGCTGCCAAAATCTGATAAAATTAGGTGAGGCCCTGAGCCTTGTGGGCAGTGGGTAAAGAGGTTCCCTGGGCGTGGTCCTCACTGACTATCCTTCTCTCTGCAGCTTCACCAGCACGCTGGCGCTCAATGACCCACTGCAGACCCTATTCCAGCTCATGTCGGGGAGGATTCCACAGGCAGCCACGGTACCCCTGTGACAGGATTCCTTTACCACCCTGGCATCCCGAGGGCTTGAGGGGGTGGGGACTGCTCAGGAGTGTGATGGCTTTCAGGAGCAAACGTGATGATAATATTAATAGTTTGTTAATCACTTACCATGTGCTGGGCCCTGTGCTAAGTGCTTTGATGCATATTACTTGGTTTAATGCATAGAGGTAGGAAATATTCTCTCTGCTTTGCAGATGTGGAAACTGAGCTGCAAAGGTGTAAGATGACCCAAGGTCAGAGATAGTGAGTGGTGGGCTCAGGATCTGTCTGGGTCTGTCTGACTCTGAAGACCTTGGCCTTCCCAAAATGTCAAAGCTGCCTGCTCTTGTGTGAATGGCAAGAGGACCTGTGCCTGTTCTTCAGGCTTCCCCTGGCAGGGCTGCCCTTCTTTTTCTCTGGAGGAATGCTCCCCACCACTGCACATTGGCACTTCGAAGCTGGACATACTCGATTTCAGTCTTCTAGAGTTGATGTGGCTGAGAGTCTGAGGCCAGCTTGGTAGTTTTCCTATTATAGGAGACTTGATCTTTTGGCCCCAAAGTATTCCTTCCTTACCTTTGATGTCCAGTCACTTTACTAGATTATGCCCTGGTGTTGACTGTCTGGATCCATTTTTTTCCTTGGGGTATATATAGCATGTCCTTTTAATATGTACATTCATATGTTAGAGTTCAGGAATATTTTCTTGGATTATATCCTTCAATATTTGTTTTGTTACCATTATTTTGGTTTCCTTTTCAGGAATTCCATGTACACATATTTCATATATATACATATATGAATTATACTTATAATTTTCTCTTTAATAATTTTTTATTTTCTTCTTTCCTCTCTTGCCCGCCCTTCCTTCCTTCCCTCCCTCCCACCCTCCCTCCCTCCCTCCCTTCCTTCCTTCCTTCCTTCCTCCCTCCCTCCCTCCCTCCCTCCCTTCCTCCTTCCCTGTTTCCTTCCTTTCTTTTTTCCTTCCTCTGTCCTTTACTGTGTTTTCACCAGTGTCTCTTGCTTTTGTGCTCTGGTGTTTCTGTCTATTTCTTCAATTTCCCCCTACTTTTTTCCTGAGCTCTGCACATTACATTCATCTCCTGTTATCCACCATCTATTTCCTGGGCTCTTATAACTCAGATTATGCTCTTGCTTCACAGACGCAATTGTTTCATTATTTTACTTAAATTCACGACAAAATGTTTGGTGACAATTTTTCATTTGTTTTGTGGTAACGTTTTTGTAGTGAATGTTCTCTCTCCCCTCTATTTTTCATGTTACCTTCCTCCTTCTGTCTTAGGGTTTATTTGTATACATTCTGTGCTTGCTTTCTCATATTACATAACTTTAAAGGAGTTGAATCTTTCCTGGGTTTATATTTCCAGTTATTTATATTAGGTTCGTGCAGAGGATGGGCCAGGCCATATTCCAGGCCATCTGGCATTTTCTGCAGGACCCAGAGTTTTCTGTGTGAGCCTGAGTTGCCTTTGCCACTCTCCAGCTGGTGGGGAGAGCTGTGGGGTCCTCTCCCTTGTGTTCTCTCGGCTTCCCCATGGAGGGACCTCTGTCCAATCGCCATTACTTTTGGTAGCCTTTTCTCATATCTTGAGGCTTGGGTTTTGGTGAACACTAGTTTTAATAAAAATTGATCTCACGCTTTTCCTTTTTCTTTTTTTTATCCTTCTTATTGCTTGTGGCTAATTCCAAGAAAAGAGAAATGATTTTCATGCCCCGTCATCAAATCAACCGGCTATTTTGTAGCACAGAGTGTGCCTCACAATTCAGTGGAATGGCCTGTGCTCCACAATGGAACTGCATTATGTTACGAAGCACTAAATGCAGGAAGTGATACAATTAGCTATGGTTCATTGTGTGTGTGTGTGTGTGTGTGTGTGTGTTTTTTTGTAATAGTAGAGTTAGCTAAATTTCCCCTATTTTTAGATGAGAGAACGGAGGAGCCAGAGGTGATGTGTCAATGCATTATTTGATCTTAGGGAGTTTCCCAGCACTTCAGCATGTACTAAAAGGCTGGATTTCAGTTTCATGTGATGAACGGGGTGGTGGAAAAGCACGGCAACAGGACAACACAGACGTGGGTTTCACACCAGTTTAACCTAGACTCTATGTACGCCTTTCTGCCAGGTGAACTTGGCTTTGTTTCTTAATCTCACAGAGCCTGTTTTTAATCTTTATTGGGATTTTGGTTCCTAACCTGTAGAGTTATTGTGAAAATCAAAGGAGAGAGAACATCTGAACATATCAACCATCATGCTTGGCCCATTGACGTTAATTAATAAATGTTGGTGCTTTCTCTCTCTCTCTCTCTCTCTCTCTCTCTCTCTCTCTCTCTCTCTCTCTCTCCTGTGTCCCCTCCACCTCTCCATTGATTTGATTCATAGTGATCTTTTTCAAATCACCAGCGAGGAGACAGAATAATGACCTCTAAGTTTTTCTTTGGGTGTGTGTGTGTTTAGCAAGGGATTTCCTTCTCTTTTGCTGATTTCTGTAGATCAGCAAGAAGCAGCTTGGCTTACATGTTAAAATGAAGGTCATAATAGGACTTAGCACATGTGATTGTTGGTAGGGGAAACGCTTAGCACAGGATATGGTTCATGGTTCGATGTGACACATGAGAACTGCTATTATTATGATTTATCATCACCATCATTGTCATCATCCTCTTCACACTGCATTGACTGGATCAACAAGGAGTGGGTGTAAAATGGAGTTGAATAAAGCATCTTTTATTCCCTGGGATAATTACAAAGACCAAGTAATTATGAATGGTTTTAACCTCCAAATCTTAGTTATTATTGGCAATCTCCTGCCCTACCTATCTATATAATAAATCGGAAGGTAGGCAGCTGTGCAAATCACCTCTTTCCTCTGCTCAGCTTCCAACTGTGTGTGTGTGTATGTGTGTATGTATTTATACCTACATGCAATTAAGTGCAAACCAAACGTGAAGCACCATGCGATGTGCTTTACACAACTATCTTATTTTATTATCAACAATAACCTGTTAGGTGGAAATTATGATCTCCATTTTAGGGATGAGAAAACAAAGGTTCAGAGGCATTAAGAAACTTGCTCAAGGTAAGTAAGCTAGTAAGATGCAGGACTCGAGTTGGGACCTGTGTTGTTTCCATGATGTTATATTGTTTCTTTATTGATATTTTCTGCCTTGAAATTCTCCTTTGTTTAGTAGGACAGTCTTAGGGAGAGATGGTAGGGAAAACACCATTTATGCGGGGTTTTGTACATTTCCACCACGCTGCTTACTCTCTGTTGCCCCCTGGTGGAATTCTGCTGCCTCTGCATTGTCCTAGCTGGGACTTCTTATTCCTAAAGTGGTAATAGGAACCGGACTTCATAGGGTTGCTGTAAGGATTAAATAAGTGGATGTGTGTGAATGGGCTTTGTAAAGTCAGAAAACATAGGTATTTGGTAAGACATTAAGCAGGCCCATGTTCCCCTGACTTCTGTGACAGGCTGTGGCCTCTTCTACTCATGAGCCAAAGATGTTTGATCTTGAACCAAAAAACCACTGAAGCCTCAGGGTTTTTCTGAGTTTTGTCTCTAGCTATTTGGGGGTCAGGCACTGGGGAGAAATGTGAAGAGTAGTAAGTGAGCAATGTCATTTTATTTATCCATTTTCCAATATCCCTGTGAATGTATGTATGTATGCATGTATACGTATCTGTCTATCTGTGTCCTTCTGAGAGTTTTACCTTTTTAAAGATGAGAACTCTAAATCAATGAATGGCAGCATTGCAGGTGGTGGAGTGGGCGTTCTCTGACAGCTTCTGAACCAGGAAATAGACAACAGCCTTCTTTATATACATCTGGCCATTCCTAAATGATTGTACATTTAAGTTATTTTTTTCTGGTGCTTTTCAGTGTTGTGGAGAAAAGCAGTGGGGAGACTGGAGGCCTCACTTGGCTGTGATTCTGTCAAATCAGGCTGGGGACCCGGAGCTGTATCAGCGTGCGATTGTTGCCATGGGTGACACTCTGGGTAAGCGATACCAGCGTTGACCTGCCCCTCCCCTCCCCTCCCCTTCCCTTCCGTCCCCTACCTTCCCCAACTCCTCCCTGTCCAGACCAGCTTTAAACATCCTGCTCTTAGATTCTCAGATACTAGGTAGGGCCAGAGTCTATGCCCCAGGCTTTTCCTGGACCCAGGAGCCTCCGTGTTTTGGGGAAAGTAACTCCAGGGAAATGCATGTCCTTCTTGTCTCTCTGTTTCGCAGAATTTCTGTGGTGAGTGAATGCAGGCCAGGCCCCTGAGCCTTGGTGTTCTGCTGCTGTAGGAGTCTGCTCTCAGCAGCTGATTTTTCTAGCCCTGGGTCAGATTCCCCTGTGGATGGAGTTAACGCATAGGACACTTTGCCTCCTGTTGCTGTAAATTTCTCAGTGACCCAGTTCAATCAGATAGGAAATTCTGTTTTTGCCTGAACCACTCTAGGTTAACCCTGTAGTCTTTCTTTCTATCATCTCTCTGTGAATATGGCCTTATAAACACTTAGGGGCTATTGAATGTTCCAGACCAGTGGTTCTCAAATTTAGCCAAGAAGCAGAGCATCTAGAAATCATGGTGCTCCCATGGGGCTTTTTAAAATACTGCTCTGTTAGACTTAAATAGCTATGGTAAGGTTGTGCCAAGTCAGATGGAGGCCACGCAGCACCCTGAGTAGAAGGGAACTAATGTTTGTTGAACACTTCTTGGGGGCCAGACACTGTGCTAGGTATTGTATCTAGTTGAATTAACTCAATTTTGAGGCAGTGGAAAACGTATGGGAGAACATTTCAAAACATGTTGGTAATTAATGTGATTTTTATGTTTGACTTTAGCAGGGAAAACAATGGTGCCCCAGGAAGCCTAGTTTAAGAATGGCGACTCCCGGTAGTCTCCTTCTTTGCTCAGGTGCAGGCATTTCAAACTCCTTTTTCACCCTCAGGAAAGACTAAAATGTTCAGAGAATTCCTCATCAAAAATCCTTTAGGGGCCGGGCGCGGTAGCTCAAGCCTGTAATCCCAGCACTTTGGGAGGCCGAGGGCGGATCACGAGGTCGGGAGATCGAGACCATCCTGGCTAACACGATGAAACCCTGTCTCTACTAAAAAATACAAAAAAACAAAAACAAACAAACAAACAAAAAAAAACTAGCCGGACGAGGTGGCGGGCGCCTGTAGTCCCAGCTGCTCCGGAGGCTGAGGCAGGAGAATGGCGTAAACCTGGGAGGCGGAGCTTGCAGTGAGCTGAGATCCGGCCACTGCACTCCAGCCTGGGCGACTGAGCAAGACTCCGTCTCAAAAAAAAAAAGAAAAAAGAAAAAAAAAATCCTTTAGCTAGAAGGTGAAATCGTGCCTTATTCTGGCTGAAGAGAAATGTAACATCTGAGGCCAAATGGGCTGGTGGGAGGAGTGGGGTTTAGGGGTCTGTGACTCATGCTATGAAAGGCTTATTCATTTAGTCCCATGTAGCTTCTCCCCTCTGACCCCCGAGGCTACTCTTCCATCTCTCTCCTATCCCACCCGGATGATGGGCCCCCACACTGGTGTGCTCCGGGACTGGGTCTTGTTCTCTTCCTCCTGCAGCTGGGAAGGGGCTTGTGGAGGCAGCTCACTTCTGTTACCTTATGGCTCATGTGCCCTTTGGCCACTACACCGTGAAGACAGATCATCTGGTCTTGCTGGGCAGCAGCCACAGGTATGTGACCTGGGAGAAAGGAAACAGGAAGGACATTTTCCATGGGATTGTTTTAGCCCTTGTTGGGTTTTATGAATCCATTCTTCATTTTCTCATGTGAATTTCAGCTTCCGCTGGCTCCCTTATCTGGGACTGTTACCTGTGCATGTCTGTGCAAGGAGATGCCCCGTGGGCCCCACATTGCAGCATCAGCGGGGCCTCAGGCCCTGGGTCTTGCTCTGCAAAGAGGTGGGCTGATGCCTTTGTGTAGTATTGTGTCCTTTGGCCACTGGGTGGCACCCTGGCTCCACAAGCTGACTTTGTTCCTTAAAAAAACCAATTATGTGTGGAGGCTTGTGGGTCCGTCTTAGGCAGCCCTGGGCCTGTTCTGAGAGCCCACCCTGGGCAAAACTGGATAATGGAAGCAGTTTATGTTTAGTCCCTCTTTGGGGCCCTAGCATCCCTACAATGACTTGGTGCACAAGCTACTTAGAGTCCCACTGGTGACATTCTCTGTTGGCCATAGCATTAGGCTTTTCCTGCAGGAGGCGCTCGCTCAGCCCCCAGTGAATGAATGCACGGACAGAACGATTCGCTCCCTAGTGGCCTTCCCTGTTCTGTATCTCTCTATCCCCCTCCCCATACGCATTAAGAGTCACTAAGCTCTTACGTTGTGCCAGGCGTTTTCTTTGCACTATTTCCTTTAATTATTACACATTTACCCTATGAAGAAGTGAAGTCAAGCAAAGATTTTAATCGTACTCAGGGAGGAGGGAAACCGAGGCACAGGGAGATGAAATAACTTGTCTCAGATGGTACAGCGAGGGTGTGGGTGAGTTGGACTCGGAATCCAGGCAGTCAGGCGGCAAAGCCCTTTTAACTGTTGCACCACACTGCCTCCCACTGAGGCAACTACCCAGCTCATGCCTGTTCCTTCCAGGTCCAGGTCTCTGATAGCACACGGCTAGCTTGTCAAAGAATCCCTCCTGTGCCAAATGTACAATAAGTGTGTATGGGCTAATATGCCTCCCCTCCTATGTTTATGTTGGTTTATGTTGAATGAGGAAATTCCTAGAAATAAAGTCCTACCCTGATTGTGATTTTAAACACCATGGCGAGCTGTTGATGGGAGAAATTTTGGGTCGCATGAGACTCTTGTGCCCCCCACCACCTGCCCCGACCAGATCACACTCACTCAGTCCCCATCCTCGCTGGTGGAATGAACATCCAACGTACAGACGCTTGTTCGATTTCTGGCTCAGCCGTCCTCGCCTGCTCTACCATGCCTTTTGGTCTCAGTGCTCCTGGGGTGTTACATGGCTCCCCTCTTTTGTGCAAGTTTGCTCAAACTAGGGGTGCTCTTTACAGGTACACGACAGGCTTTATGGGCATGGGGGCCAGCTCTCCTTGGGTTTAAGAGGAGGGCCCAGTGCCTTGAGTTACCCTTCAGCAAGAAGGCAGGCGGCGCCCTGTTTCCGCAGCCTCTGCCTCCCAGCGCCTCTGGTGCAGAGTTCTGTTTTGTTCCTTCCTCAGCCTCAAGCAGGGAGAGAGAGAGGAGGTGAAACACTCATTCTGGGAGCCCAGAGTCTCTTTCTTCTCTTGAAGCCGCCGCAGGGATCAGCCCAGGATGGAAACTCCCCCATGAAAGGCTGCAGCTGGTGTTTGGCGATCCACTAGGATTTAACTCCCGTGTCCCCCACACCTCAATCTCTTTTATTGTTATTCCCTGGTTTTAGTCAAGAGTTTTTGAAATTTGCAACAACTGAGGCAATCCAGAGGACGGAAATCTTCGAGTACTGCCAGATGCTGGGCCGCCCCAAATCCTTCATCCCTTCTTTCCAGGTAACCGAGCCCAGATGAGGCCACCACTGTCACTGTCAGGCAGCTGCAGGCAGCTGTATTTCCAGTTTTGCTTTTTGGCACTTGGTACCTGGGGCTAAGTTATCACTGAACTTTTCCTCATTAGCTTAAGTGTGGGAGGGTATAGGATTTCTTTTTATGTCCCCTAAAGGTCTGCGTTTTATAATACAAAGGTAAAACGTTGCAGAGGCCTCTCTGCTGGAGGCTCCTGCCTGACTGCTGACGTTTGAACGTTCTGCTTGCCGCCCTGGCCTGCGCCTCACTCCTGCTGTCAGCTGCCTCTCCCCGTCTCTCCAGACAGCTCTCCCTTCTTCTGAGCCCCTGCAGCTGTCCTGTGGGAGGGAGTGGGAACGCAGGCCCAGCCCAGTGGCTGCTCACCCTCCCTCTGCTCCGTGCTCCTTCTCGGGCCTCTTTTGAACTCCTCTGTCCTCTACCTCTGGCCATCCCTCTGTGCTCAGCCCTGGCCCTCACTCCTCTTCGTCCCTCTCAGGGCATCAGCTGTGCGGTTGGTGACCATGCTGTGGTTTCCGCCCTGTCTTCGCAATGTTTCTACATGATGCCGTTGTCACCTTACATTCGTTAAGACCAGTGCTGACATCGTGCCGTCCTCCGTCTAAATCCTCCGTGAGCTCTGACGTCCAGCACCATCCCTTCCTCCATGCAGGCTCCCCGGACCACGCCTATGAGTGTGACTGAGATGGCAGCCTTCAGTGGTCTCAGCTGTAAAATGGGATGACAGTGGTGCTTTGTAATGGAGTGGGCATGAAATTGAGTTAGTTTCTCTAATGCATGAGAACAGTGCCTGGCACACAGCAACTGCTGTCAGTGTTGAGGCCATGGCAGGCACAGTGTGGCTCCCACAGCTGAATCCAGGGGCCCCCACTGACATTGAACTCACGCTGCCTTGTGTTTTCTTGCCTTTCATGCACAGGTACCTTATCTTCCTACCTTAGTTATCTTCTTTAGGTAGAGACCTTTTCCAGCAATTCCTTGTTTCTCCTTCAGTGCTTGGTGTCGAGGGTACACACTGCAGCAGCAACAACAACAATTACAACAACATGCACACACAACACAAAGCCTTGAAAGTGAATTCCTTTGTCGTAGAGAAATGGCCCAGTTAGCATCTTCTCTTCTTTTTCTTTTAAGTTCTAGGATACATGAGCAGAACGTGCAGGTTTGTTACATAGGTATACATGTGCCGTGGTGATTTGCTGTACCTATCAACCCGTCATCTAGGTTTTAAGCCCCACATGCATTAGGCATGTGTCCTATAGCATCTTCTTTTTTAAGGGCTTTGCCAAAGACTCACCTTTTCCAGCAAAACCCTGCCTGATGAGCTCCTGTTTGCAGTTCCTTGACCGGCTCTTTGCTCTCCTTTTTTTTCTCTTCTTTATTCATCCCAACTCTCAGTTATTTTGGTGCTGCTTGGGGCTGGTATTAGTAATGAGATTGGCTACTTTGAATGTGCTCTATGTGCCCGGCATTGTGGCGTTATACATCTTGTGTATTGTTTCAAATCCTGTAATGTAGGCATGATTAACTCCCTTTTACAAAAGAGAAAACGGAGGCCCGGAAGGGTTACATGCTATCGGCCCACATCTCTTGCATGCTGTTTCTTCTCAGTACTTCACCTGAATTATCTCATTTAATCTCCATAACAACCAAGGGCGTAGGTAGTAGTAGTATTCCCATGTAGTAGAGAGGAAACTGAGGCACAGAGAGATGAGGTAACTAGCCCAGTGTCTCACACCTCACATGGAGCTTTTATTTGAACTTGGGTCTGTCTGATACCAAAGCCCTCACACTTGCTCCTGCCCTGCCACTCATGCTTTCATGAGAGCTTAGTTGTTTTTCTCAGTAAGCTTTCTCCATTAACTTTATGCCCTTTGTGCTAGGGTCTATTTTTTTTTCTTTTTTTTTTTTTTTGAGACACAGTTACTCTGTCACTCAGGCTGGAGTGCAGTGACATGATCTCGGCTCACTGGAACCTCTGCCTCCCGGGTTCAAGCAATTCTCCTGCCTCAGCCTCCCGAGTAGCTGGGACTACAGGTGCATGCCACTATGCCAGCTAATTTTTGTATTTTTAGTAGAGATGGAGTTTCGTCATGTTGGCCAGGCTAGTCTCGAACTCTGGACCTCAAGTGATCCGCCTGCCTCGGCCTCCCAAAGTGCTGGGACTACAGGCGTGAGCCACCGCACCCAGGCTATTTTTGTTTCTTTTAATGTCCCTCTTTTGCCTGGTCCTGTGCCTGTACATCAAGCTCTCTGGATATGTGGGCTACCCAATAAATAAGGACTCCAGTGCACTTTGCACGGTGACCAAGACCTAGGAACGTTGAGCGGATGGGACTCCTGTTCTTTTCTCTGTAATGCAGGAACTGGAGGCTGGATTTGGAGTTGTGCCCGCGCATAGATAAAATGCTCCAAATGGCACAAGCCTCTTGATATTTGGATGCCAGAGTTAGCGGAAGCTGACAGTCAGCTGACTTCCAAGAAGTCTTATCTACATTTCTCTCTCTCTCTCCCCCTGCCTGGATGGACTAGTCACTGACTCATTTCCCTTCACAGGTGTATAAGCTCCTTTATGCTTCCCGTCTGGCAGATTACGGCCTCGTGTCCCAGGCCTTGCATTACTGCGAAGCCATTGGTGCAGCTGTCTTGAGCCAGGGAGAGAGCAGTCACCCTGTGCTGTTAGCGGAACTCATCAAGGTGAGCCTCTCAAAGGGTTCTGTGCAGTTGTTTTATCTTCACTATTCAAAGAACGCCATTGTAGAGCAGCTTAGACTCTACATTTCATCTTCTTTGAACCTGCCGTAAAATTGGAGCCCACGGCCGCCTTTGACCACGTATGCATGCCCAGATGCGATAAGCAGAGGCCCAACACTACACAAAGAAGGATGTTCTCTGGGCGGGCGGTGGTGGGATTGGAGACTGGAAACCATGTCGGTGCTACTTGGGAAATTCATTTTTGCATCTGCTTTTCTGGTACAGTAAAACTACATGCTATGGTGAACCATTCTAATTATAAAAGCTGGGCTTAGAAAATATATTTTAGTGATTAAAAGAGTAAATGATCCTTATTAAAATGCTTTTAAATGCATGGAATATTTTATCACATATGAGATACATTTAAAATAGAAAACAAAAACATATCAACCTTTAGTTCCTAGGGAAGAAAACAACAATCAAGCAAATAGTTGTTTCAATTAATTGAAGAAAAACCCATTAGCTAGAGAGTAAAAAAGCAGCCTACCCTTAAATTTTTGTTTTGCCTTAGATGAGGCCCAAGTGCTGGATTCTTTAACGTATAAAAATTGCTGGTGGTGAGCCTCCCCATACCCTGAAGTTTCTGCCAACAGGTTGATGGTTGCAAGGAGCTCAGAATGAATGATTAGAAAAGTTTTGGTAACTAAAACTTGTTTATGGAATAAATCCTTGAAATACAAAGTAACATTAGCATCACCTGGGAGCGGGTTAAAAGTGCAGACTCTTCGCCCCTGCCTAGATGTATGGAATCAGAATTAGCATTTTAACAAGTTTACAATTAGAATTCAAACAAAATTTGTATGTACACCTAAGTTTGAGAAACACTGTTACAGAGCAGACAGCTTTGCACAGAAATGAAGCTGAGTAACTGTTTCTCCTCATACTTTATTTAGAATCTAATACCCAAGACAGGTTAGTGATTTATGTTGCAATTTTGGAAGGATGTCTGCTGAATTAGCTATTTTTCGATTATTTTTTATAATGTAATTTATAAGTGAGTTAAGGCTCTCTTTCTCCTTTTTCCTTGTTTTCTCTTCCCTGTTGTCTTTCTGTTTCTCTTCCCTCTCTCTCCTCTCCTCTCTCTTACTTTCTGCCCCTAACCCATCTGGAAACCTGGCACAGCTAGCAGAGAAACTGAAGCTATCAGACCCTCTGGTTTTAGAAAGACGCAGTAGAGACAGGGACCTAGAGCCAGACTGGCTAGTGCAACTTCGGAGGCAGCTGGAGGTGAGTGGGGTTGGAGCCAGGGCAGTGGTGGGGGGCGGGTGTCGGCCTTTGTTTCCCTCCTCCCTCCCCTAGACATGGAACAGGTAGGCGCTGACATTAGCAAGTCCCTGGTCCCCATGCCTCGCCGTGGTCTCTTCCATCACCCATGAGGCACAGTTGGTGTCTGGGGAAGGGGTGGGACTCAGCTTCCTTGCCGCTGCTTGTCCCTGTGTGGGAGCGTTTTCCTATATTCACATGTGACACGTTGGGGCGCTCTTCCCAATCACTCTTGACACCCTTCCCTGAGGCCCCAGAGAGTATGTTTCATGACCATCAAAGCTTCCCCATCTCTGCTAGGAACAATGGATCACAGTGGACCAGTGTCACTTTCATGTAATGTGGGGCAATTGCTTAAAAGACTTCTGAGTCTTTTCTTTTTTGTTCTGACAATTGCAAAAGCTGCTGGTTGTAATTGGAACAGTAATTGGAACAGTAATTGGAACAGGGCCTCCTCCATTTTCTTTTTCCCATTCTGCTCTGAAGGAAAGATAGGGTGGATTTTTTGAAGCACGCGCAGCCTTACCCCTTCTATCTGCTGCAAGTGCTGAGGCCTACAGTTTAGTTCTTTCCATGCGCTCCTTCCTTCAGGGGAGGGTGGATGACTCTGGTCTCCAGCCATCTCTGCCTGTTCTGGGCAGAGTTGGAATCCCCATCCACATGACCCCCCAGGCCCCTAAGCATACGAGTGTTTCCCTTACCTTGTCATCCCCACTGGAAGTTTCTTTTTGGCTTAAGTTTTGAATCACTTTGTTTCTCTGTTCTTGTTTTTCCTTTGTGCCGCTTAAAAGGAATTTTACTTTATTTTAAATAGCAAAAGATAGCAGGAGACACTGGGGATCCTCATCTTACTCGCTCAGATATTTCGGGAGCCAGAGGAACAACAACAGGTACCCAAAATGATGAACTGAGCATATACATAGCTGATGCTCAGGATCTGATTCTACGAGACAAAGTAATTCACAAAATCACTCGCCCTTCCCTTCCCAGGGTGCCTGTCTTGCCTGTGTAAATCCACCCCGTTGTCCAGGCGCCTCCTCCACACAGCTCTTGCCAGCCTCACACATACCCAACTCTTCTAAATTCCCTCAGTCTGAGAGCGTCTGCTTCACGATTCAGGTTTTTAAATACCTGAGTGTTTTTTGTGTTGCACTGTATTGTTAGCCAATTCTTTCTCCTATGTTAACTTCTCTCCAGCTGGATACATTTCTTGAGTCCAGAGATTGTGGTTCATCAGTATCATATGTTAGTGTTGGGGATGTCGGAAGTCCTTAAGAGTTTTGAGCTGGCAATTGCCAGATGACTGTGGAATAAGGATGTTTCAGTGTTTTCACGGCATCTCTACTCTTCCCTTGGGATGCTTCCCAGTGGTGGGTTGGCAGGCACCATATCCCTGGTTAACTCTGTACTCTTTCCCCAAGTTCCCCAACAGTAGGGTCAGGAAAGGGCCCTCATCTCTTCCCAGCCCTGTGTCCTTCCTCAGGCATAAGCAAAGGGAAGGGAGGGCAGGGCAGGCCTTGGCTTCTGTTTCTCACTGTGTAGCAGGATCTGTAAAGGTGGGGGGTGGAGGAGAGCTAGGCTGGGTGCCCGTGGATGTTGCTTCCCCACAGCCCTGGCTCCTGGTGTCCAATGGAGCAGGTGGGTCGGCCACTCATGCCAGTCCCGTGACCAATCATGTTATAGGTCCACACCTTAGTTTATGTTACCAGTCAGGTCTTTTCCAGGGCAAATGTACTCTGATTCTTTAAGAACAAAGCCATGATTTCTGTGAGCTGGTTTAGGTTTTTAGCTGGAAGCTTTCTAAGTTTTAAATACCCAAGTCCATTAGGAAGTCCTTAAAGAAGAAATAATTTATCAAAAATTAAAAAGATGTGGAGTTAGATAGGATGGTAATTTCAGCCCTCCCAACCCACTGGCTAGAGGCTCAGAGATCATACAAGGTAGTGTTAACTTAAAAAAAAGGTCATACAATGTGTACATTTGGAAAGGAGACTTTATTTCTTACAAAGGGTTCCAGCCTGCAAGGTGGCCATCCCACAGGCTGGGAAGTATAGCCAGGCACTTTGAGGGAAGGAGAGGTAAGACAAGAATTTAAGTTGAATGGGTTGATCAAACATACGTATTTAACAGGTTATAGGAGGAGCTGTGACTATTCACAAAGGAGGTCCTCACACATGCCTAATGAGCTAACATGCATGTAAAACACGACCCATGTTCACCTTGGGGTGAAGACTTATCCTTTAAGCGTATTACAATTAGGCCTTACCTGTCAAAAGGTCTTTTCGGGACACAGAAGCACTCAAGTGGGGACCCTCTGTAAACTGGCCAGACCCAATTCATGGTTGGTGGTCTTCTTATCTGGAGAAAGTTACTGAAATCAGTCTTGTCCAACCACAGCTGTGGTTATGGCTGATAGAACAGAGGCTCATTTAGTCAGCATTTGTGAGTGGAATGAGTTGTAATTGTTTTAACATTGCTCATCTCAAGGCCAGTGCTTGCTGAGCTGCTAGAGAATAAAACCTCGTGGCCATGAGAACACAGTTTATTTTTAAGGTGCGGGACTTAACCGTTGCCTGGCAGGGCTTTAGGTTCTGTGTATAATTTGGTATCTTATGGCCACCAAGCCATAAGATCTGTTAGTCTTAAGATCTCGGTTTTAACATTAATGCTGGTCAGTTGTGTCTAAACTACAAGAGAGGGGGTATAATGAGGGGTGTCTCACTTCCCATCCTGTCATGCTGGGAACTCAGTTTTTAAGGTTTTTCTGGGGTCCCCTTGTCCAAGAAGGGGTCTGTTAAGTCAATGGAGGGGCTTAGGATTTTATTTCTAGGGTACACTAGTGAAGGAAACAATTCTGTAAACAGCAATGAGGGTGTTACCATCACTCTGTGTTTTACTTGTCATCATGTTATTGGAAGCCACGTTAGATAGCTTGTCTTTGTGACTGCTTTCCAGAGAAGACATGAGCAGGAACGTTTCTGGTGTGATCAGTATGCAAATGCCACATTTCAGGTCTCACTTCTTTACCTTCATTCTATGTCCTTAGAAAACACTTTCTACCAGGACTTTTCTGGATGTCAAGGCTACTCTGAAGCCCCTGAGTACCGCTCAGCTCTGTGGCTGATGCTTGAGCAGACCTGCCTGCCCCAGCCCAGCCCACAGCAGCCCTTCCCTCTCCAGCCGGGCTCCTACCCAGCAGGAGGGGGTGCAGGGCAGACAGGGGCACCGATGCCTCTTTACTCAGTTCCTGAGATCCACCTACCAGGAACTGGCAGCAGCGTGGCAGTGACAGAGGCCCCTGGAGGAACAGTCTGGGAGGAAACGCTGCAGACACACCTGGGCCCTGGTAAGACCTGGCAGCTAGGGTGGCCACGTTGAGTATAGGGTCTGGGTAGGGAGGAAGCAGGAAAGGGAGGTGCTGGGACCAGTCAGAGGAGGTTGGGCTGGAGCTGGGAAAGACACAGATGCGGGGGTATGTGCCTGTTACTGAGGGCCTGCTAGTTTTCAGCCACTATACTGGTGCTTTGCGTATATCTGAAGGAGATTGCTGTCTTCCAGCCCAGTCCCTCTCTCCTCTGGGTACAGCAGGGCACATGGAGCGACACCTGCCATCCAAATGATTACATAGTTTCTAAGAGAGATTACAGGATGGAGAAATAGAGACCAAGTTCTCTTTCTCCAATCATCCTGCACCCAAAAGCTTATTATCAGGGTCTCCAGCAGAAACCCATGTGTCTGTCTTGGCCCCGAGTTTTTTCAGGCTCATCAGACCTTCGACAACAAGGGCTAAGTATGGGTGAGCAATGCTGAGCGATGCCAGGGAGATGCTGGAAGTCACCTAGAATGATTAGATCTTAGACCTTCCAGGATTAGGTCCTGTCCAAGATGGAGGCTCACATGGAGAGGAAGGTGGTGGAGGATCCCTGTGACCTCGCTTGATGCTGCTCTGATTTCCAAGATTCCCGAAGAGTGGCTGTGGAAGTAGAGGATGAGTTGAACAGCATGTCCTGGGGTGGCTGGGATTGAGCTGAGCCATGTGAGCATTCTTTGTATTTGCTGTGATTAGCTTGGGCTTATGGACTCGGAGCTTCTGCTGCAGTTAAGAAAGCTGATTGTGTCCCAGTTAGTCTTCTTCAGGATAGATGGGACAAAGCACAACTTCCTATTGCTATTTCCATTTCTGTTTGTGACTCAGGAGAGAACACAGTGTCTCAAGAAACCTCCCAGTCTCCTGATGGCCAAGAGGTCATTTCCAAACCACAGGTGAGAGCACACAGCATAAAAGATACCACTACCCACTCAAACACTTCTGGTTTTCACCAGTTGCCCTGGTTTCTTGGCCACATGCAAGCTCCTCCTCAGCGTTGCAGCAGCTTTCTCTTCCACATCTCGCCATGCCTCTTCCTATACCAACTCCTGGGAGCTGGGCGGGAGGCTGTGTTCTTGTTTACACTCAACCCCACCAACCTGTGTCCACAGGGTGAGAGGGAGCAACTGAGCTGGTTTGTTTTGGCCTCTCAGATCTCGGTTACCTCTGACATCTTCTCAGTGCTGCACAAAACACTTGCCATACCCTGTCCTGCCATGGAAGACTGTTGATATTTCCTTGTTTTAATTTTTACCTGGCTTTATTTCAAAGAAAGATCTGTGGTAGCTGTGACAGTGCCTGCCTCTGTCTTTTCTCCTCAGTTAGGCTCTAAGGTCCTGGAAGTGACCATGTCTGATGAATCATTCTATTTAGCTCTGATTGAACACACCCCTGCCCTCAGCAATGGGCAGTGTTGGTCCTGAACCTAAGGCGTTCTTCAGCTTCTCCTGGTTGGAGGGTTACATCCTATAACTTTTTAAAGTAGAAAAACGGGTACAGGTCTTAACAAACTTCTATGGTTTTCTGTGTTTTTTTTTTTCCTGACTGAAAAGTGGTACATTATTGTTATAGAAAAATCTAAAAGTGAAGTATCATATAAAGAATCAAATATCACTCAATCCAACAGTCAAAGTGCTTTTCTTTTCTTACACTATTTTTCTGTATATGCATATGTATACACACATATATGTATATCTGTATATACATTATACACATATACATGTTTTTAAGTTGCTAAGAACATATGTATGCAAAGCTTTATTTCCTGTTACTTAACACTATATAATGAGATTTTTCTGTGTCATTCATAAATATGATTTTTAAAATTATACTTTATGTCGTAGGGTACATGTGCACAACATGCAGGTTTGTTACATATATATACATGTGCCGTATTGGTGTGCTGCACCCATTAACTCGTCATTTACATTAGGTATATCTCCTAATGCTATCCCTCCCCTCTCTCCCCCTCCAACAACAGGCCCCAGTATGTGATGTTCCCCTTCCTGTGTCCAAGTGATCTCATTGTTCAATTCCCACCTATGAGTGTGAACATGCAGTGTTTGGTTTTCTCTTCTTGTGATAGTTTGCTGAGAATGATGGTTTCCAGCTGCATCCATGTCCCTACAAAGGACACGAACTCATCCTTTTTTATGGCTGCATAGTATTCCATGGTGTATATGTGCCACATTTTCTTAATCCAGTCTGTCATTGATGGACATTTAGGTTGGTTCCAAGTCTTTGCTATTGTGAATGGTGCTGCAATAAACATATGTGTGCATGTGTCTTTATAGCAGCATGATTTATAATCCTTTGGGTATATACCCAGTAATGGGATGGCTGGGTCAAATGGTATTTCTAGTTCTAGATCCTTGAGGAATCGCCACTCTGTCTTCCACAATGATTGAACTAGTTTACAGTCCCACTAACAGTGTAAAAGTGTTCCTATTTCTCCGCATCCTCACCAGCACCTGTTGTTTCCTGACTTTTTAATGATCACCATTCTAACTGGTGGAGATGGTATCTCATTGTGGTTTTGATTTGCATTTCTCTGATGGCGAGTGATGATGAGCATTTTTTCATGTGTCTGTTGGCTGCATAAATGTCTTCTTTCAAGAAGTATCTGTTCATATTCTTTGCCCACTTTTTGATGGGGTTGTTTTTTTCTTGTAAATTTGTTTGAGTTCTTTGTAGATTCTGGATATTAGCCCTTTGTCAGATGAGTAGATTGCAAAAATTTTCTCCCATTCTGTAGGTTGCCTGTTGACTCTGATGGTAGTTTCTTTTGCTGTGCAGAAGCTCTTTAGTTTAATTAGATCCCATTTGTCAATTTTGGCTTTCGTTGCTATTGCTTTTGATGTTTTAGAGATGAAGTCCTTTCCTATGCGTATGTCCTGAATGGTATTGCCTAGGTTTTCTTCTAGGGTTTTTATGGTTTAAGGTCTAACATTTAAGTCTTGAATCCATCTTGAATTAATTTTTATATAAGGAGTAAGGAAGGGATCCAGTTTCAGCTTTCTACTTATGAGCTAGTTTTTCCAGCATCATGTATTAAATAGGGAATCCTTTCACCATTTCTTGCTTTTGTCAGGTTTGTCAAAGATCAGATGGTTGTAGATGTGTGATATGATTTCCGAGGCCTCTGTTCTGTTCCATTGGTCTATATCTCTGTTTTGGTACCGGTATCATGCTGTTTTGGTTACTGTAGCCTTGTAATATAGTTAGAAATCAGGTAGCATGATGCCTCTAGCTTTGTTCTTTTGACTTAGGATTGTCTTGGCAACGTGGGCTCTTTTTTGGTTCCAAATGAACTTTAAAGTAGTTTTTTCCACTTCTGTGAAGAAAGTCATTGGTACCTTGATGGGGATGGCATTGAATCTATAAATTACCTTGGGCAGTATGGCCATTTTCACGATATTGATTCTTCCTATCCATGAGCATGGAATGTTCTTCCATTTGTTTCTGTCCTCTTTTATTTCGCTGAGCAGTGGTTTGTAGTTCTCCTTGAAGAGGTCCTTCACATCCTTTGTAAGTTAGATTCCTAGGTATTTTATTCTCTTTGAAGCAATTGTGAATGGGAGTTCATTCGTGATTTGGCTCTCTGTTTGTCTGTTATTGGTGTATAAGAATGCTTGTGATTTTTGCACGTTGATTTTATATCCTGAGACTTTGCTGAAGTTGCTAATCAGCTTAAGGAGATTTTGGGCTGAGACGATGGGGTTTTCTAAATATACAATCATGTCATCTGCAAACAGGGACAATTTGACTTCTTCTTTTCCTAATTGAATACCCTTTATTTCTTTCTCTTGCCTGATTGCCCTGGCCAGAACTTCCAAAACTATGTGGAATAGGAGTAGTGAGAGAGGGCATCCCTGTCTTGTGCCAGTTTTTAAGGGGAATGCTTCCAGTTTTTCCTCATTCAGTATGATATTGGCTGTGGGTTTGTCATAAATAGCTCCTATTATTTTGAGATACGTTCCATCAATACCGGATTTATTTAGAGTTTTTAGCATGAAGGGCTGTTGAATTTTGTCAAAGGTTTTTCTGCATCTATTGAGATAATCAGGTGGTTTTTGTCTTTGGTTCTGTTTATATGCTGGATTACATTCATTGATTTGCATATGTTGAACCAGCCTTGCATCCCAGGGATGAAGCCCACTTGATCATGGTGGATGAGCTTTTTGATGTGCTGCTGGATTTGGTTTACCAGTATTTTATTGAGGATTTTTGTATCGATGTTCATCAGGGATGTTGGTCTAAAATTCTCTTTTTGGTTGTGTCTCTGTCAGGCTTTGGTATCAGGATGACGTTGGCCTTATAAAATGAGTTAGGGAGGATTGCCTCTTTTACTATTGATTGGAATAGTTTCAGAAGGAATGATACTGGCTCCTCCTTATACCTCTGGTAGAATTCGGCTGTGAATCCATCTTGTCCTGGACTTTTTTTGTTTGGTAGGTTATTAATTATTGTCTCAATTTCAGAGACTGCTATTGGTCTATTCAGGGATTCAACTTCTTCCTGGTTTAGTCTTGGGAGAGTGTAAGTGTCCAGGAAATTATCCATTTCTTCTAGGTTTTCTAGTTTATTAGCGTAGAGGTGTTTATAGTATTCTCTGATGGTAGTTTGTATTTCTGTGGGGTCAGTGGTGATATCCACTTTATCATTTTTTATTGCATCTATTTGATTCTTCTCTCTTTACTTCTTTATTAGTTTGCTAGCAGTCTATCAATTTTTTTGATCTTTTAAAAAAACCAGCTCCTGGATTCATTGATTTTTTGAAGGGTTTTTTTGTGTTTCTATCGCCTTCAGTTCTGCTCTGATCTTACTTATTTCTTGCCTTCTGCTAGCTTTTGAATTTGTTTGCTCTTGCTTCTCTAGTTCTTTTAATTGTGATGTTGGGGTGACAATTTTAGATCTTTCCTCCTTTCTCTTGTGGGCATTTAGTGCTATAAATTTCCCTCTACACACTGCTTCAAATGTGTCCCAGAGATTCTGGCATGTTGTATCTGGTTCTCACTGATTTCAAAGAACATCTTCATTTCTGCCTTAATTTTGTTATGTACCCAGTAGTCATTCAGGAGCAGGTTGTTCTGTTTCCATGTAATTGAGCGGTTTTGATTGAGTTTCTTAGTCCTGAGTTCTAGATTGATTGCACTGTAGTCTGAGAGACAGTTTTTTATAATTTCTGTTGTTTTACATTTGCTGAGGAGTGCTTTACTTCCAACTATGTGGTCAATTTTTGAATAAGTGTGATGTGGTGCTGAGAAGAATGTATATTCTGTTGATTTGGGGTGGAGAGTTCTGTAGATGTCTATTAGGTCCACTTGGTGCAGAGTTGAGTTCAATTCCTGGATATCCTTGTTAACTTTCTGTCTTGTTGATCTGTCTAATGTTGACAGTGGGGTGTTAAAGTCTCCCATTGTTATTGTGTGGGAGTTTAAGCCTCTTTGTAAGTCTCTAAGGACTTACTTTATGAATCTGGGTGCTCCTATTGGGTGTATATATGTTTAGGATAGTTAACTCTTGTTGAATTGATCCCTTTACCATTATGCAATGGCCTTCTTTGTCTCTTTTGATCTTTGTTGGTTTAAAGTCTGTTTTATCAGAGACTATGATTGCAACCCTTGCCTTCTTTTGTTTTCCATTTGCTTGGTAGATCTTCCTCCATCCCTTTATTTTGAGCCTATGCGTGTCTCTGCATGTGAGATAGGTCTCCTGAATACAGCAAACTGATGGGTCTTGACTCTTTATCCAATTTTCCAGTCTGTGTCTTTTAATTGGACTATTTAGCCCTTTTACATTTAAGGTTAATATTGTTATGTGTGAACTTGATCCTGTCATTATGATGTTAGCTGGTTATTTTGCTCGTTAGTTGATGCAGTTTCTTCCTAGCATCGATGATCTTTACATTTTGACATGTTTTTGCAATGGCTGATACATTCCAACATGGAATGGTTGTTCCTTTCCATGTTTAGTGCTTCCTTCAGGAGCTCTTGTAGGGCAGGCCTGGTGATGAGAAAATCTCTTAGCATTTGCTTGTCTGTAAAGGATTTTATTTCTCCTTCTCTTATGAAACTTAGTTTGGCTGGATATGAAATTCTGGGTTGAAAATTCTTTTCTTTAAGAATGTTGAATATTGGCCCCCACTCTCTTCTGGCTTGGAGAGTTTCTGCCGAGAGATCTGCTGTTAGTCTGATGGACTTCCCTTTGTGGGTAACCCGACCTGTATCTCTGGCTGCCCTTAACATTTTTTCCTTCATTTCAACTTTGGTGAATCTGACAATTATGTGTCTTGGAGTTGCTCTTCTCGAGGAGTATCTCTGTGGCGTTCTCTGTATTTCCTGAATTTGAATGTTGGCCTGCATTGCTAGGTTGGGGAAGTTCTCCTGGATGATATCCTGTAGAGTGTTTTTCAACTTGGTTGCATTCTCCCTGTCACTTTCAGGTACACCTATCAGACGTAGATACAATCTTTTCACATAATCCCATATTTCTTGGAGGCTTTGTTCATTTCTTTTTACTCTTTTTTCTCTAAACTTCTCTTCTTGCTGCATTTCATTCATTTGATCTTCAATCACTGATACTCTTTCTTCCAGTTTATCGAGTCAGTTACTGAAGCTTGTGCATTTGTCACGTAGTTCTCGTATCATGGTTTTCATCTCTATCAGGTCATTTATGGACTTCTCTGCATTGGTTATCCTAGTTATCCATTTGTCAAACCTTTTTTTCAAGGTTTTTAGTTTCTTTGCATTGGGTTCATAGTTTCTCCTTTAGCTCTGAGAAGTTTGATTGACTGAAGCCTTCTTCTCTCAACTTGTCAAAGTCATTCTCCGTCCAGCTTTGTTCCATTGCTGGCAAGGAGATATGCTCCTTTGAAGGGGGTGAGGCACTCTGATTTTTTGAATTTTCAGCTTTTCCGCACTGCTTTTTCCCTATCTTTGTGGTTTTATCTACCTTTGGTCTTTGATGATGGTGACGTACAGATGGGGTTTTGCTGTGGATGTCCTTTCTGTTTGTTAGTTTTCCTTCTAACAGTCAGGACCCTCAGTTGCAGGTCTGTTGGAGTTTGCTTGAGGTCCACTCCAGACCCTGTTTGCCTGAGTATCAGCAGCGGAGGCTCAGTTGGAAATGCAGAAATCACCCATCTTCTGTGTTGCTCACGTTGGGAGCTGGAGGCTGGAGCTGTTCTTATTTGGCCATCTTGGTGCCCCCTATAAATATAATTTTTAATATTGGCATGGCAAAATTCATTTTATGAAAGTAGCGCTATTCATTCATTTATTCAAAATATTCACTGAGTTCCTACAATGTGCCAGGCCCTGTCACAGGGGCTGGGGTGGCATCAGCACGTCAGCCCAAGCCTTCCCTCAGGTGCTCAAGTCTAGTGGAAGTGACTAAACATAGACAAGTATACGCGCCAGGCATCTCACTTCAGAGGAGTGGCCAAGGAAGGTGTCACTGAGGAGGCCTTCAAATGGAGATCAGGATGGAGCATGGAAATGAGCCAGGTGAATATCTAGCAGAAAGGCATTCGAGGCAGAGAAACAGCAGGACTGGAGGCCCTGCAGTGGCTCCCTTGGTGTAGTTAAGGGAGATCAAGGGAGCCACTGTGCCCTGAGAGTGGGAGCAGTAGGGAAGAGGGCTGAGAAAAAAGGCTGGAGGGCAGCAGAGGCAAGCTTACGGGGGGCCTCCATGACCACAGTAAGGAGCTCGCATTCTGGTTGATTATTCCTGTGCTGTCGTTAATCATTGTGAGTGTTGCATCCTTTCCCCTCCCTCCCTCCATTCCTCCTTCCTTTTCTCACTCATATATAACACACAGTGCTGGGCATCCTAGTATATAAGCCCTTGTCTATGTCTTGAATCATTCACTTAGGAGAAATTCCTCGAAGGAAAGCCAGACAGCCTACCTTTAGCCTTTGCTGTGCCATTTACGAGCTGGGTGACCTGAGACAGGTTGCTTCACCTTTCTGTGCCTTAGTTTTCTCATATATAAAATGAGATAATAATAGCACCTAGCTCACAGGACTATTGTAAGGATTAAATGCATCACTACATATAAAGCCCTTAGAACAGTGCCTGGCACAAAGTCAACACTATATTCATTTGAATAAAAAATAAAGTTTTTTTCTTTATTTTGCCAAAGTATTTCCTAAGGTTTGTATCAATTGTGTTTTATTGAGAGTGAAAAATGTAAATATTACAGAAAAGAGCAATATGTCGTGTGACTCCACCTATGTGAGACACATAGAATAGGCAAACTCAGAGACAGAAGTGGCATGGCAGTGACCAGGGCCTGGGGGAGGGGCAAATGGGGAGTTATGTAATGGGGATGATGAAAAAGTTCTGGTGACAGCTAGTGGTGATGGTTGTACGACACTGTGTGTATACTTACTGCCACTGAATTGCACATTTAAAAATAGTTAAAATGGCAAAATTTATTTTGTATCTATCTTACCACAACAACAACAAAAAGTTAATGTAAAGGGATGTGGGTATATTTTACCCCCCTCTGGTGCATATGTTCGCAGTTGATCTTGAGCAAGTCTGTTAGGAAATGAGCTCTAAGACGAGTTATGTTTGGTGGTTGCTACATTCTCTGTTTTCTTTGGGGGGGCTTGTGGGCCTCTGTGGGGTGTTTTCTGGCCCTCTTCATCTCCAGCAGTAGCAATCCATAACCCGTGCTCCAGGCCTTGGCATAGTTCTGAAAACTGTATGTTTCTGGAGAGGTGGCACCACAGACGAAGGTCTGTAAGATTAGGGACAACATGGGCTTGGGCTCTGACTTTATCCTGTGACCTTCAGCAAGTCATTTTTCATGGCTAAGCCTTCCTTGCTCTTCAGTACAATATGATTCTGAGAGACAATCCCACTGCTTCTGAGCAGGTCAGGTGAGGGAGTATGTGCACATGTGTTTGGTAACCTGTCAAGTGCCATGCAAATGTGAGTTATTTCTTTAATTCCAGACACCGCTGGCTGCCAGAGCACCAAGTATTTCTGAGAGTTCCACCAATTCAGCCAAGGAGGATGAGGAGGAGTCCTCCGATGAGGCTGATAAAAACTCTCCCCAAAATACTGCCCGGAGAGGCAAGCTCGGAGATGGGAAGGAGCATACAAAGGTGGAGGGACTTGTTCTTCTCTCCCCGGCCTTCCTCCCCCTGCCATTCCCTTCCTTAAGGGTGGTGCAGACTTGGAAGTCTGGGCTCTGACTGTCACATGGGGGTGGGTTAACCTCATAGTCAGGGGGAGAAGCAAACCTGCAGGTCATAAAATGTCCTCTTCCCCTTCCAGAGCTCAGGGTTTGGCTGGTTCAGCTGGTTTCGATCGAAGCCCACCAAGAACGCATCTCCCTCTGGAGAGGAGGACTCCTCGGACAGCCCTGACTGTGAGGTAGGCTCTGTGGAAGGGAGAGGATGCCTCTCTCTGTGGGTCTTTCAGAGGGAGCTGCCTTAGCACCTAGGAGCTCTCAGAGCTGGCACCTGACTCCACCCCAGGCCACACGAGACAGAGGTTTTGTGACAGAAGATGGTGGGAAATGAATTGGTCCTGTGGGGGCAAGGCAGATTATAAAAGCTTTAAAAAGTTAGGATGAAGAAATGTAACTTTAGAGGGTCAGCAGGAGGGAGCTAGTGTGGATTACTGAGCAGAAGAGTGGGATGAGGAGAGGGGGTTTTGGGGAGTACCCAGCAGCAGTCTGCAGCAAGGCCGCCATCCTGAGTGTGGGAACGCAAGTGGGTGGGCGTGAATTTGTTAACCACCAATGTCGCCAATGCTGCCTTTCTTTTTCCACAAAGCGGGAGACCCCCAGAGCATCTTCTCCCCACCAGGCTGGCCTGGGCCTCTCACTGACACCTTCTCCTGACTCCCCTCCTCTGCCAGCTCTTAGCGCCTTCTCCGTGGGCACAGGTACTGCCACCTCGCGTCCTCTGGGCCATGGGTGGTCCCCTCAGCGCTCCCAAGGGTGGGGGTGCCTTCTGGGAGTGGGGACCCCCAGTCCTGAGCAGAGGAAACAGCTCTGACTCATTGCTTTCCAGGTGGGGGTGAAGGCCAAGGATCCACATCCAGTGGGGGAGCAGCTGCGGGCGCTGGGGTTGGAGGCTTGTCTGGACCTGAGGTGAGCAGCCCCTGGGCTGGAGCCTCGGACCCCAGCAGATGCCTGTGTGTGAGGACTGAACCTTCAGGTGGACAGTGCTGACTCCTGGGGAACATGAGAAATGCTTCTCTGCTGTGTTAGTTTGCTCAGGTCGTCATAGCAAAGTACCACAGAACGGAGGCTCAGACCACAGAAACCTAATTTCTCACAGTTCCGCAGGCTGAAAGCTGAGGTCCAGGTTTCTTTTGAGGAAAAGATGACCTGGCTTGTGCCTGGCCATCTTCTTTCTACGTCTTCACACGGCCTTTCCTCTGAGCATGTCTGTGTTCAGATTTCTTCCTCTTATAGGGACATCAGTCATACTGGATTGGGCTGCCAATATGACCCCCATTTATGTTAATTGCCTCTTTAAAGAGCCCATCTCCAAATGTTGTATTTTCATGTTTCTCCAAACATATGTTTTCTGAGGTACTGGGGGCTAGGGCTTCAACATGTGATTTTTTTTTTCTGGGAACACATTTCAACCTATAACAGCTTCCTCAGGGGAAGCCTGGGGAATTGCCTTTTTACCTGTCCCAGGAAGAGGCAGAGTTCACTGGAGACCTTGTCCAGGGCTATGGTAAATTCTTCATGAGTTGTCCACATTAGTATGGATCTCATATCTATTGCTAGGAAAACATTTTTATTTCTTTAAGCCTGGTTAGATAACGCTTGTATAATTTTAGGCCTTTTGAAGGTTATATTACTTTTTATGATGGTATCAGTATAATTTATTGAGGCTTTTTCTTTTTGTCAGTATTGCCACTCCAGACCCACGGGTTGGATGTGTCCACTTGAACCATGTTGGCTTGCTTGAGATTCCCTGAGTTCTATTAAGAAATCCTTCTGATATGGTTCTCTTTTAAAACATTTCAGTAGCTTTTGGGGCCCAAGTGGTTTTTGGTTACCTAGAGGAATTATATAGTGGTGAATTCTGACATTTTATTGCACCCATCACCCAAGCAGTGTTGGCATGGATGTGGGTTGTACCTAATGTGTAGTTTTTTTTAATCCCCGACCCTCCTCCCACCCTTCCCCTTCTGAGTCTCTGAAGTCCATTATATCGCTCTGTATGTCTTCACGTACTCACAGCTCCCCACTTATAAGTGAGAACATATGGTTCCTGGCTTTCCACTCTTGTGTACTTCACTTAGAATAATGGCCTCTGGCTCCATCCAAGTTACTGCAAAAGACATTGTTTTGTTCATTTTAATGACTGAGTGTATTCCATCGTATATGTATACCACATTTTCTTTACGTGCTCATTAGTCGATGGGTACTTAGGTTGGTTCCACATTTTGTAATTGTGAATTGTGCTCCTATAAACATACTTGTGCAAGCATATTTTTCAAATAATGATTTCTTTTCTTTTGGGCCGATACCCAGTAGTGGGATTGCTAGATCGAATGGTAGTTCTACTTTTAGCTCTTTAAGGAATCTTCATACTGTTATTCACAGAGGTTGAACTAATTTACATTCCCACCAGCAGTGTAGAAGTGTAGAAGTGTTCCCTTTTCCCCACATCCGTGCCAACATCTATTATTTTTTGACATTTTAGTTATGGTCATTTTTGCAGGAGTAAGATGGTATCTCATTGTGGCTTTAATTTGCATTTCCCTGAAGATTACTGATGTTGAACATTTTTTTCATTTGTTTATTGGCCATTTCTTCTTTTGAGAAATTTCTGTTTATGTCCTTTGGAGAGTCGATAAGGAACTCAAAGAAATCACTGAGGAAAAAACCAAATAATCCTGATATGCTTCTTGAAAGCCTTCTTCAACGTTCTGGAATCTGGGAGGCGGGCACTGATGGGATTTTCCATGCTTTTCTATCACAGAGTGTTTCCTTTGAGCTCTGCTCCAACCCTGGTGTTCTGCTTCCTCCACCTGCCTTAAAAGGGGCTGTTCCTCTTTACAACCCATCTCAGGTCCCTCAGGTAAGGAAACCCTCAGGGGGAGGGGCTGGCCAGGAGCACAGGTTTTGGATTAAGGAGACCTAGGTTTATCATCCCAGTTTGCCATTTATGATATGTGAGTTCTTGAGCAATTGGAGAGTCTTGAGACTGTCCAATTCTCAGTTTCTGCATCTATAAAATGGGGTCAGTAGTAGCTAGCTCACAGATACGTATATGAAGGGCCTGGGACCCAGAAAATGGTCAATAAATGTAGTTACTCTTAATATCGTATTTAAATTTTAATAGCTCTTGAGATGTGGGAGACACAGTCGGTGTTGGCATCAGTAGTGTGGGTGCACTGTCAGTCTGTCCTGGGGATAAAGGGATCACTGGAAACTTTGAGAGAAGCTAAGTTCCCTGTTTCTCAGCAAACTGGGTAGACTTAGCTCTGCTAATGTCTCATTTGGCCTCCTCTTTTTATAAAATCCAATTTCTTTTCACCATAGTTGGGTGAAGGTGTTGGGTGGAGGTAGATAATTAGAACACAACCTTGGGAAATGTTCTACACAGAGGCTCGGGTGCCCTAGCTCCATCCATCCAATCAATCCCAGGCAGAGTCATGTTTGGGGCTGTACTCAGTGTAATATTTGTTCTTCTTTTCCAGCTGCCCATGGCCACTAGCCTGAATCGGCCAAATCGCCTAGCTCAGCGTCGCTATCCCACTCAGCCATGCTGAGAATAAACACGCGTCCCAGGTTCATCGCCGCAACTTTGCTTGCTCTCCTTTTCTCAATCTCCCAGTCCCTCTCTACCATACTGGGACCCTCAAGAGGTTTGTGTCAGCCTGATGTCTCCACCAGGCACTGAGAAGGCAAGAGGACAGGATCTCTCAAGACACAGCACAATTCAGTCTCTTAAGATTAGCTTCAGAATGCCGGAAATTATTTCATCAGGTGGAAGGTCTGGGTCTAATAGCAGACTGCACATGAGCAGAGTGACATAGTGGTGGCACTTATGGTGGTGGCTTGAGAGCCTTGGGGAAATTAGGGCCCTAACAGCTAGAATCAAAGATGGGACCACAGAGCCCTGTAGCAGGAAATGGGAAGCGGGGGAGGGGCAGGAGCTCAGAACAATGTTCTAGACCAACTTGGACTTCTTCCTGTCTTAGTAATAGACCAATACATGGCTCTACTTAGCAAAGTTTTTATACTGAAACTTGATTACTACTGCCCTTTATAATTTCCTCTTCAATGATACTTCAGCAGTTTCCCTCTTGGTCCTAGTTTTGTGCACATTTTTTTTTTAATGTGGTTCAGATTAATTATATTTCTCTCACTTTCTTAGCTGGTCCTATTTTTTCACATTCTGGCATGTGGCTATCAAGTTAGATTGCTCTAGGCATCCTATTGTCATGGTAACTACTGAACCTAATGATGCAGATGGATGGCACATCAGTATAATAAATGATGGAAAGCGGTTCCTAAAAATTCATCCCTTTCATAAGAGGGGAAGAATGAGTGCCTGATATTGTTAATACCTCCCTTTCTACCTCAGGCCTTTGCAAATTGATGTTCGGAGGGTCACTGGAGTGAGAGGGAGGAGGGGGGCGTCTTGGAAATTTCCATTTCTCTTTTCAAGCCCGAAATAGGAATGACTCTTGCTGTTTGTCAGATTTGCTGAAAATTGCTCCTCACAAAGAACATTTTTTTTGTACATGTAATTGTAAATACAGGTTTAGTACGTTAATGTTCTGTAGTTCTGATGTTGATAATAATTAAACCCAGATAATTTTATAGCAAGTGCTTGTCTCTGGCTGATTTTTGCAGAGGAAGACAGTACATTGGTGGTCTCTTCCCTGAAGTCTTTCTAATAATGATTTTATTGTGTGATCAAGTGTGAATAGCTGGAAAGAGCCCTTTGTTAATGAAGAATCTAGGGACAGATCCTCTTAACTTCTAAGTCTACTTTAATGTTATTCTTTTTCCAATTTAAAAAATATGAACAAAAAGCTCCTCTGATGCAAGTCAGTCACTTTACTAACTAAACTAAATGTTGTGTATTTTGTTCCATAAAAAGTTGTTTTAACCTCTTAGATTAAATTAGAAAATGTATGCATAAATGTTTCGCACCTGGAGGGCCCTCAGTAAATGCTATTCCCCTTTTTTCCTTAAAAGGCTGCTACTCCTTCAATTTGGTATGCTGACATCCAGTGGTGGTGCTGTGGCATTAGTGTGTGAGTTTCACAGAAGCCACACTGCCTAGTCTTGCATGCTGGCTCATCTGTAGCTCACCCTGTAACCTTGGGCAAGGTTACCTCACTGTCTTGTATTTCAGTTTTCTCATCTATAAAATTAAGATGATAATAATCATAGTACCTGCCTTATAGGGACATTGCAAAAATTAAATGAGTTAGGCCCTTAGAAATGGGCCTGGTATATGCTAAGTACGGTTGGCCCTTGAACAAACTGAGTTTGAACTGTGTGGGTCCACTTGTACTTGGATTTTATTCTGCCTCTGCCTGTCCAAGACAGTAAGACCAACCCCTCTTCTTCCTCCTCCTCAGCCTACTGAATGTGAAGACTATGAGGATGAAGACCTTTATGATGATCCACTTTCACTCAATGGAGAGCCCATATATTTTCTCTTTCTTATGATTTTCTTAATCATGTGTTTTTCTCTAGCTTACTTGAAGAATACAGTATATAATACATATAACATATACAATATGTGTTAATACACTGTTTATGTTATCCGTAAGGCTACCAGTCAACAGTGGGCTATCAGTTGTTGAGTTTTTGGGGAGTCAAAAATCATATGTGGATTTTTGACTTTGCAGGGCTCAGTGCCCATCATGTCCGCATTGTTCAAAGCTCAACTGGACTTTATTATGGTGTCTTTTATTATTAATTTGCAATCTAATAAGATCTTGACTGTTTTTTGGGGCCTACCAGATCTGACTATAGATTTTTTGTTCTTGATATCTGTATAGGACAGGGATGATGATTAAAACATACTTCTCAATATGTGTCATTGCCAAGTCAGTTTCTCTTCCTGCATCCCTTCTAACACCAACGTTAGGCCATGAGGCTTTGTGCCCAAGGGAACAATGGTGTAGGGGAGGTCCTGTCCAAGAAATAAAGCACTTTAGGGAGGAGAGAGTGCAGACCAAAGAGGAAGGCGCAGGCATCGGATGCCTGTGTCCTCTCGTCCTCCTCCTGTTAAGAGAATTCATGGAATACCAGTGGCTACTGTTATGCTCAACAAAGCAAGCACTGAGTTTAGTTACCTCCCAGCCAAAGGAATACAGAGCAATGAATATACTTTGTGAAGAGGAAGAGTAAGGGTTTCTATGCACTAGAAAGGGAGGAGGTTCTTGGTGTTTATGGTAATTCATAATTTAAAGGTTTTACTCTGGCAAAGTCAGAATGTGTCTATTAATCTGTATATGCTTGGTTAAAACAAGCCCAGTTGCTCATTGGTTAGGTTAGGTCCAGTAAGGGTCTGAGGAGCTGGGGTCACTCCCAGTTCTTAGTTGCTCATCTGTGCTGTTTGGGTAGTGGTGGTGGTATTGCTAAAGGTCATGGTTATTTTACAACTTCAACTGGTTAAAATCTGTTTTGGTGAAACAAGTGCAGCTGTCAGAAGAAAATACTGTTTTCTCCTTTTATAAGGTGGAGGCTTGGGAAATAGAGTAGGTTGTGACAGATATACACTGCTATGAAAGGGAGCACACTGGGCTAGTGGCCCTTTCCTCTAGCTCCCCTGGTAACCTTGGGAAGGGAGGCTGCAAGACTTGAGGAGAAGCCGGCTTTGGCTTGGCAACGTGTCCAATGTGTCTGGGGAGCCATAGCAGCTTGGCTTTGGGGATCTGAGGCAGAGCTCTGAGCTCCCTGAAGCCTGCTGTAGGGTAGACTGTAGCAGGGAATAATTGCATAATGACCCCAAAGGTCAGATGGGACAAGTAGTCTCCCAAAAGGCAAAAGGTCAGGAGTGGGCCAGACAAGCCACCAGCAATGAATAGGTCACACTGTGAAGGTCATAGCCCTCTTTTCCGTCACCGTGAGCTGTTTGGGGAGAGAGAATGAACAGAATTCTCTTTCTCTCTCAAAAAATGAATTATCAAAAGACATGGTATGAAAGGGAAGAGCCTAAGATACTATTAATTGGCAAGTTTGTTTTTTCACCTGCTTCTCAACAGAGTCCAAGCTTGGAGGAAGAATAGGTCAGTCATACGAAATAAACCATAGTTTCCTTGAAAAGCTGAGTAGTAGTGGGCAAATTTTTGATTCTGCCATATACACATAATTCAATATTTATATGAAAACATTTAAGTGTAATGTTCTATAATTTGAAAGTGAACAAACCACTAAATTCCATTTCAGGGTCTGTATCACATGTTACCATTCCAGCCCTCTGTCTAATCCCCTCATGTGGCTATAGAGCTGTAAATGAGCCGCGAGTCCTCAGTCACCTGTGTGTCCTCTCTGTTCAGCCTTCTCACAGGCTTCAGGTTGCTCAGGATCAAAGCCTCTGCTAGCTTTGTTTTACCCTAGAAAGTCTCCTTCTTTTTGGTATCTTCCTCTGAGTAACCAAGAAAAGGAGCGGGAGACTGCATCTACTTCTTCACTAAAATCAGAGGACTTTCTACCCAAGACGGAATGTGCAAAACCCTCTTTCTGCTTGAAAAGAATAATAGGTATGTAATTTGGGTCTCTCCAATCACGTGAGTTTCTCTCTCACTTTTTCCACCAGAGAGTGGAATGGAAGTGACTTTTCTCCTCTTCTATTTGCTGCCTTAAGCTGGAAATTGCATGAAGCATGATCTGCAAGCAACAGAATGTTAGGTACTTAACTGAGGTTGTCCCAAAATGTGGCCTCAACAACAGCCTGTTTTCATTTCATTAATTGGCCATACTTATACCAGGCATCATTCATTCAGGTCCTTTAGAAATGGTTTCTTAATGAGATTTAAAGTTACTCTGAACAAGGATTAACAGCATATGAAAATGTTTTCATTACAATTGTGCTAGGTAGAGAAATCTTCTTCCTATGCTTTCTTCCTTTTTGTATATTCCTGTTTCCAGATAATCAGGGTCAACAGCAGTTTAGGTCAAACTCAAATGACCTTTGCCAACTGTTTGTTATTTTACTGTGAGATGTTTTCCTGGCCCTTACCTATCTTAGAGAGAGCCAGTTAACCTACCCAATTTTTAAAGAATTCTTAACAGAGTGGGATTCCATGGCTTCCTTTGAGGTTTCAGCCCATGGTTCCTCAAACATTAGGAAGCTATTTCTAATACTTTCTACTCCAATCACTCCTGTGACTCTTTAAGACTCTTAACTGGTCCTCAGCAGAGATGGAAAACAGCTGCTCACCACCACCTGTGCCTGGGAACTCGTTCACATTTTGGAAGGTCATTGAGTCATGCCTCAGCTTATGAAATGAAGTCTTACAAAATGGGGTTTTCTTCAGTAGAATTGGAGATTAAACCAGATAAATGCTAGGAGTCTTTTGGTAGCTCCAGTGTTCAGACATCCTGAATTTCAACAATAATAGTATAACATTTATTGAGTATTTTGTGTCAGACACTTGCATTCTATGTGTGTATACTTTCTATGCAGTATATAGTATTGTGATTTCAACATATATTAGGAACAAAAAAACTGAATAGAGAGGTCAGGTAACTTGTCCAAACATACACAGCTAGTAAGGATGGAGCTGGAATTAGAATCCAGGTGGTCTGATCTCAGAATCTGGGCTTTTAGCCACATTGTCCCTGGACATGTGTACTTTCGTTCACTGATTTATCAAATATTAATTGAATAGCATGTCAGGCATTGCTGTTTTCCCAACAAAAATGGTTCTGACACTTAAATACTTACAGTCTAGTGGGAGAGACAGACATGTAAACACAGAAATTTCTGCATAATGTGAGAGCTGTTTTAAATATATGTACAAATAACTTTGTAGCTTCAATCCCTTAATCATATATGAATTTCACATATTTATATAATTTTGAGGGAAATATGTAATATATTCAAATTATATCATCCCTATAGGTTAAGATGGAGGTGAAGTTCACTGCTAGCTATGTAGAGTAGCATATCTGTTGGCCAGGTTTAAAGTGGCTTTAAGATGTGGTGGATGCAGACAAAGTCTGGATGAACAAGGGTAATAGTGTACTGTGATCACAAATACCACCATGATCTATGAAAGGAGGATGATCTGATTTAGACTTGCCATATTGCTACTGCAGAAATTCTTCCCGCTTCTCCATGCTGTTGGTTTGGAGGCAGGAAAGGACTGTGAATGTTGCAATGGAACACATTTGAAGGCAAGAGCCCTGGTGAGGAGTGTATATGGTTTCATGTGTGTGCACACGCGTGGGTGCCATCCATGAGGCTCCTTTCGGAATGTCTCTTTTCACCTAATCTCCACTCCTAGCCTCTTTCACTTCCCCTTCCTCGCAATTACTCTTTATTTCCAAGGGAGGATTACCCAGAAGACAGCCTCTCCATAAAGCATCTTCCGAGTGGCTGATACTACGAAGACTCTGTGAAGTCCCACTTACCAGCACAGGATTGTGTCAATACATCCAGACTTTTGGCTAGCAAATTTTAGCTAGTTTTATGTTTCCCCAAACTGGTTCTTAGAAATCCAAGACCTTGACTTTTAAAACTTGTCTCTGAGTTTTAAGGGCTCATTTTGGAATGTAAAAGATAATCACTGTTTTTCATTATTTTAATGTTCTATGATCATGATTTGGGGTCATGTGAAAACCTCACTGTCCTGGAGTGAAAATAATTTGAGTTTTGTGCGTCAAGATTTCATTCCACTTCTTTGAGTATTTGGATAAATGCCCATGAATTAAGTAAGAACCAATGAGAGACTTACAGTCATGATTTCTTTATTTAATTTTTCAGCTGCTTCTCTTTGCAAACAACAACAAACCAACCCCAAGCCCACAGATGGCGTTAGTCATCCTAATAATACACATCAGTTAAAACTGTGAGTTGGGATCCAGCCTCATTTGCTTTGAGCAACAGGTACATTCCTGACGAGTTGCAGATACATTGACATTTTCTAAATCAAATTAATTTTTAAATGCACTGGAGTAGCTTGCAATTTAAAGGTAATTGATGTTAAACCCCTGAAATAAAGAGTTATTTATAAAGAAAACAATTGTTCCCATTTTCTCACTTCGTAGATGCTGACTTTGTAGTCTTGGGGGAAGACATTGTATTAAGAATGAGAAGACTTTCAGTTCCAGGCTCACATTTTCTGCTAGCTAGATGGTTGACTTTAAAAGTATGTCCATTGAATCTCTCAGTGCCCCCAAACATCTCAGCTAAAAACTTGGCACTTGCTCAATCAACAAACATTTATTTAGGATCTTCTATGGGATACATAGGTGAGATCAAAGTCCTAGCCCTCAAAGGGCTCACAGATGAATTAGGAAACTAATAAGTGATTCAGGGAAACCCAGGATAGTCGTTTCTCCGGGCGCCCTTGGTGTGTCATGTTGCCCCACTCTGCCTACCACGGAAGGAGGTTGTCAGGAAGGCTCGGAAGGAGGGGGCTCTATCAGTGAAAAAACCATGGTCCAGAGAGGTTAATCAATTTTCCTAAATCCTCTTAAAGTTCTGATTTCCAGGCTGATGGTCTTTTTCTTCAAATAGAGACCGTAATTTAAAATGTAAAGCTTTTTAATTATTACATTGAGGGTACATTTGTGGTTAATAAAAACATCAATATAATAACTGAGATTTTGTGCCAGGCATTTTATGTAAGAGGTTACATGTGTTTATTCATTAAATTCTCTTAATGGCCCTAGGAAGTAGATATTTGGAAGATGCTAAAGCACAGAGTTCAAATAACTCATCCAACGTTACACAGCTAATGATGGAACTGGGAGAGCATCGAGGCAGGTACTTTACATATGTTGTCTTTAATCCTTAAAACAACTCAGAGGGGGGTTTGATTAGCTCACTTTATAGATCAGGAAATGGAGGTGCAGAAAATGTAAGTAACTACCCCAGAACCACACATAGAAAGTGGAGGACCTGGTATTTGAACTTCTGCAGTCTGGCCTGTACCCTTATCTCTTGTTCACTTAATTTAAAGTGGGTGGACCTGTACTGCAATACCAAGTAGGACCACTGACCTTTATTCGAGTCTCGTGCTGTCTTAGCTAGGGTGATTCTGTGTGCCTCTCTTTCCCAAGTACAACCAAGGGATATTATTTGTTGTCTCCAGCGTTTATGTGTATGCCTATTTTTTTTCCACCAGACTTATGACTTTCAGGGACTGGGATGATATTATAACTTACTTATTTTTGTATTTCTGGCACCTTGCACAGTACCCATGCCTAACAAGGGCTCAATATTCAAAACAGAACTGGGTGAATAATTTCCCACCGTGAGAACTTCAGGAGAACTTGCAAAAAATGTCCACAAATTATATTTGGTCTAGAGATTATCATGTGAAGTCATTCTCTTGTTAGAGTTTGATCCTTTTCTGCATCTTTAGAAGCTGATACAGGTATTGGCATGTGGTAAGTGCTCAAACAAAATCTGTGAAGGGATGAGTGGCTTAATAAGGGCGGGCAAAATGAAAGGATCATCACAGCTTCTGAGAAACTGTCCGTGAAAGAGATGATGGAGGTCTACGGAAGAGGGAGTCTAGTGCTTCGTCCCCAGGCCAGCGACATTTGTGGCAGCTGAGGGAAGGGAAGCACCCTACTTGAGGTCAAGGCAAGTGATGTCCTGTATCTACAACTCCTCGTTTGACCCTCAGGGGCGCTTATGTCTGGCAAAAGCATTTCTTGGTTTTAAAAGGTAATTCACCCCTTTACAACCTGTGTAATTGCTATTGGAATGCTTTGCCCCGCTAGTGTCTTAATTAGGTCAAATTTTATACCAAAGGCTTTAAGTTAATGCTGTATTTGCAATTCTAAGGCCCCCTTCTCTCAGCACTGCCAGGAAGCACTCACATTTTTTTAGAGATGGAGACACCCTGATAAGCCCATTTGGGCACTCTTCTAAGGGGGTAGGATGGGAATAGGGGTCCAGGGGAACTAGGCCAAAGGAGATGTGTGTGCCAGGAGAATCATCTAAATGCTTCTAAAAAGAAAATTCAGTCTCGAAGTTATCCTGCTCCAAGTATTGCTTGGATAATTGCAGGATGCAAGGCTCTTTGCATTTGGTTAAATTATATAGTTCTGCTCTCTCTGTGTTAAAAAAACCCACTTTTTATTATCTGCCTTTTATCAAGCAGACCATACCCCTAGAGTTACACCCTTCCTCTCTCCAGCATGCCACCCCAATAATGAGATAACCATCCACTAAGAAAACAAACATAATATAAAAATTATACAAATACATAATCCCCAACCCAGAAGGAAGGGAGCAACTGCCACCTGGTACCAAACAGCAAACAGTATAATATTTATCCAGAGCAGAGGGTTCCCCCAACAGGCTGTAATTCCTCTATTGGGTGGGGCAGGGGGTGAGGGGTCAAGGGGAGGTCAGTGATGAAAATCACCTCCATAGGCCTGGTCTAAATAGGTAGCAGGTGGAAATCAATTCAGTGAACTCAATGTTTCTGTTTCCTGTCTCAGGACACACTCAGGAGGCACCTGAGGAGTCCATCAATCTGTCACTGGAAAGGGGAGAGGTGGCGGGAGAAAGGAGGTAATTGGATTGTGCTTCAGTGGGACTTTTTCTCTAGCTGGAAGCGTAGCTGGAGAAATATGAAGCAGAGCCATCCCTGAGGTCAAGTAAATTGGGACTTTTGGTCCTGGAGCTGGAAAGTAGCGCTCTTGAGGTTTGAAAATCTGCTCTGGCTGTAACATTTCAGATAAGGCTGTTTTCTAACTTTTGGGCTGGTCTTGGATTAGGATAAAATTTTACTCCCCTTGCCTAAGAACTGTACTTTCCATGGCCTCAGTCAACTCAGGGCTTGCATTGATTCATACATAACTAGTATTTAATTTCTTAATCAGATGCTCTCTGAGTAAGTAGAAATTCAGTTGTTAGAAACTGTGCAATGCACGGAAGCTAGTCAATCTTCTGTTTTATTGATAAATTGGAACTTTAAAGCAACGTTGCTAGTCAACATGACAGTTCTTCCTAAGAAAGAGGCAGTTTACAGAGCTGTGTAAAACAGAAGGGTCCTTAAACTGTGGTTGGGGAGATGTGATATGGCAAAATGTCTACCAATAAAGTGGAGCATTATAGCAAATTACCCAGTTTATACATGCAGGCAAAGCTTCCTTTCTTACGCCATGTTGGAGAGCCAATAAAACTTGCAAATGTGATGGGAGCCACTATTTCTGCCTCTGTGCAGCTGTTTATCAGCAGCTTTTTAACACATTTTCACATATTAATGAGGTGGCATAGCAGTTCCAGAATTAGAACAGTGGGATGTATCATTGTCTGCTTATCTGAAGATATGCCTGCTGTCAGCTCAGCATCATTACCAGGGTATGTACAATGAAAGATGTACTTTTTGGTGGGGGCAGCATGTACATGCTACCCCACCTTCCTTATTCCCCAAACCCCCTCGCCTTCCAACCATCATACCTGGATGGGCTCCGGCACTGCTTTTGTAGGTCTTCCTGCAACTTTGTCTCCTTGTTTCATGATTTGTGTGTCAGTAGGACTTGAAATTCCTTTTTGCTTCTCCATTTCCCAATATAGTCCTTGATAGTCAGTAGGTACTTATTAAATGTTGAATGAATGAATGAATGAGTAGATAGGTGGATGGATAAAAGTGTTCCCTCAAGAACTGTCCTCTGCAGGCACAATCTGCACTCACTGTGGCTTAAAGGAACAAGATAGATATGTGGCATGGCTTTCCTTGAATTTGCATGAAAAGGTAAAATGGCAAATAGAATCTTATAGAATAAGGGCTGTAAGAGACCTCAGGAAGCACTCACCCTGGTGGTTTCCAAATGCAGGTGTGCAGTTGGTGCCAGAACACTGCAAAATTTTCACCCGTCTGCAATGAGCTGAAAAAATAAAAACAATAGAGTGAGCTTTTCATAGAGCCAAATGTATTATCTGTTAGAATTCTAAGATTAGGTCCTTTTACTATATTTGGTGTTAAAGTTTCCTCTCTAAAAAAAAAAGAGAGGTAATAGTAGATAATAGCTGCTACTTTTTTTCTCTCTTAAGTCCCTTTATTTGGTAAAACAACAAATTCCTAATTTGTTTTGCAGATTCCTGAATCACCCACATTTTTTTGAGAGGGAGAGGAGAGGATGTTTCATGAGTCCATAAAATCCCAAAGTCTGGAACCACTGACAACTCATCTCTGTCTCATCTGAAAAAAACTCGCTGACATCTCCTGTTGGCCTTAAGTGAGACACTGGGCTCCTTAAAAGAAATAGCACATTTCAGTAAATGATAAGATGCTTCAAGTCGTACAAGTTCCTCTCTGTGTTGTCTCTTCAGAGCAGGGATCCAGGCTGGGTCACAGGCTTGTAGCAATGCCATAACTAAGACATAGGTCAGTCAATAACAGGGGCACAGAGGCCCAATTTACCAACGTCTAATGTGCTTTCTTTTGCTGTGGGTATAGTCGCTGTTTTGTCTTTAGGTAGAACATATATGTGCTCTGTGTAATACAGAGCACCTCTCTGAGAATGACAATTCTACTTGATATAAACCATGGGAAAAAGAGAACTCCACGGGGACACACCTCCTTAATCACCTCTCCTTTCTCTGAATTGCTGCAGCTCTGTTGTCTATGCCATATAATGTAGCTCTTGGATTTTACATTGTCTTCTGTTCTCTGTTTATTAGTCACAAATCTTATCTCTCCTAAAGAATGGGAACAATTCTTTTAAATCCTGTTATTAATTGATAAACTTTTTCTTTTGTAACTCAATCTTCTCTGGAGGCCGTTGGCCCTTACTGGTCCTATGTATGTTGGAAAGATCTGCGGTTCTGCAGACCTGGTTTCCAGCCCTGACTCTGTGACTGATGGATGACAAGTAGATGAGTGAATGCTGAATCTCACGGCACCTGGATGACTGTTGTTCAGAGAGAAGAATGGTACTGACTGCCTCACCAAGAGAAGTGGCAGATGCATTAACTGCCTAATGATGCTGATGTTCTTTGAGAATATAAACGTGAAACATGATCATTATGGTTAATAGCAGTCTTTGGATTAAAATTTTGTTTTCCTCAAAGAGGAGAGGAAGAAAGATTATTTAAAGAAATAGTGAATAGAGGGCCCCAGTTTGTTCTTCATTAGTGATTGGCTTTGATCAGAATGGCATAAGCAGTGGGAAAGTGGTCTTAAAATCCAGAAGGGAATTATCTCTACTTCAGGGCATGAAGTCTTCTCTTTCTCCTCCTCCCACTGGGGAAAAAAGTAAAGAGAGAAAAAGCTAGGGAAGCAAATGCTCTTAAAAAATAAGATGATTTCTCTATGTCAGGTCTGAAAATAGTATTTCCTAAAGCTACTGCTATGTCAGAGACCAAGCCAAGTGGAAGAGAACTGGCCCAGGGCTGGCCTCAGCCTCCAACATCTTGCTATGGAAGAAGCCAGAAGCAGGTGGGGCTGTGATGAATTTTTATTAAAGCCCCTGTTTATTAAAAGTTGAGTGAAAGTCTTCCTAAGATCCAACAGGCCTTTTCCAGAAAAGTGCTTTTCTACTTGTGATGGACATAATTGGTTTCCCAGCTATAAAAGCTTCCTATGGCTGCTGTAGCAAATTGCCACACTTACTGACTTTACGCAACATGCATTTATTACCTTACAGTTCTGGAGGCCAGAAGTCTGAAACGAGTCTTGCAGGGGTAAGATCCAGGTGTCTGCAGTACTGGTTCCCACTGGAGGCTCCCGGGGAGAATCCGTTCCCTGCTTCCTCCACCTTCTGGTGGCTCGTGGCCACACCACTCTAATCTCCACTTCCTTTATCACATGGCCTTATTCTCTTCTCTTTCACATTTCCCTTTGTTTCCCTCTTTTAAGAAGGCTTTTGATTACATTGGCTGTGCCTGGAAAATCCAGGTTTATCTCTCCATCTCAAGATCCTTGATTCAGTCACATCTGTAAAGTCCTTTTGCTACATAAAACAACATTTGTAGGCCCCAGGGATGAGGAACTGGATGTCTCCCAGGCTGTTAATCATTCTGTCACAAACAGGCAATAGCTCTTCTTCCCTTCTTCCTTCCTAACAGAACCCTGATTTGGTTCAGGCATCCTAAGACACTGGTTTCAGGGGACAGTGGTCCTTGCCAGCCCTCGTATAAATCTTGATTAAGCCAAGGTTGTCACATCTCTCCCATTCCCTTGCCAGGCACTGGTTAGGAATGGGCATGGGATTCATCTCTGCCAATGGTACGGAAGGAGAAATCTGCTCTGTGATTTCTGGAGAGCTCCCCTCACTCTTAAAGTGGTGCTAGGAAAGGAATGCTGTCTCTTAAATAGTCTCTGGATGATGGGGATTGCTAGTTGAGAAGGTAATGCTTGAAGCTGCCATAGCTATCTTGTGACCATAAGGGGACAGGTCTCAGGACAAAACAAAAAATGCTGAGAATGTCTGAACAGAAAGATAGAAAAAACTGGGTCCACAGTGTTATCAGTGAGCTGCTAAATTAGCTGTCTCTGGAACCTTTCTCTGTATGCTTGTTGGTGTACACAAAGAACCACTTTAATGTTCTAGTCCCTTTGAGTTGGGTTTGCTGTGACTTGAAGCTACTAGACATGACCAGAGACCCACTATTTATTTATGCTTCCAATAACATAAGTGCGTATATAAACATATGCAAGCCCCGGATCTGCCCTAGCTCTGGACCTCATCCTTGACTGTCTTGAATCATTATAAGAACCTCTTTGGTGATCTTTGATGATGTCTCTGACTCTGGACATGTACCTTCTTGATCTAGACATTACAAAATAGTGTACTTCTGTGTGTACTTCTATGCTTAGTCACCATACATATTTATTGAGCACTTACTATGTGCCAGCCACCTTGCTAGTCACAGAGATACATCTGTGAATACAACAGTCTTTGCTGTCATAGAGCTTACATTCTAGTGGAAGGAGATATATGAAAAGCAAAGTATAATACATCAGGTGGCAATAAATGTTACAAAGAAAAATAAAGCAAGGTAAGATTGCTGTAGGAGTTTGTTTTTCACATGTGAAGGTCAGGGAATGGTCTCTTTGACAAGGAGGTGATTGAGTAGAGCCCTGGTTGGAGTGACAGAGTGAAGTGTGCAGGTACCTGAGAGCAACCAGCCAGGCCAAGGGAGCAGCACGTGTAAAGGCCCTGAGGCAGAGCATGCTTGGTGAATGAGTAAGAGCAAGGAGGCCAGCATGTGGGGGTGAGGCAGGAGGGAGGGAGTAGTAGGAGAAGAGCTCAGAGAGGATGGTAGGGACAGGTCTTGTTGGACACAGAGGCCAAAGTAAGGACTTTGGCCATTACTTTGAGTTAGGGGAAGCCACTGAAGGGTTTTGAGCAAAGAAGTGACTGTCACATGATTTAACTTACATTTTTCAAGTATCACTCCGGCTTCTGAGTAGAGGTTAGACTCTGGGTGGTAGACACGAAGCTCTTGTAATAACTCAGGCTGGGCGGGGTAACTCAGACCTGTAATCCCAGCACTTTGAGAGGCTGAGGTGGGTGAATCATGAGGTCAGGAGTTTGAGATCAGCCTGGCCAACATGTATTTGTAATTTACATGTATTTGTAAAAATACAAAAAATTAGCTGGGCATGGTTGTGGGCACCTGTAATCCCAGCTACTTGGGAGGCTGAGGCAGAAGAATCACTTGAACTCAGGAGGTGGAGGTTGCAGTGAGCCAAGATTATACCACTGCACTCCAGCCTGGCGACAGAGGGAGACTCCATCTGAAAAACAAACGAACAAATAAACAAAATCAGCCAGTAGATAATGGTGATTGGATCGAGGTGGTAACCATGGGGATGGTTATAGAAAGTGATTGAATTCTGCATATATTTTCAGGGTAAAACTATTAGAATTTGCTGATAAATTGGCTATGGAATCTGAGAGAAAGGAAAGAATATAACCTGACTCCTAGGTTTCGGGCTCAAGCAGCAGAAAGATGGGGAAGACTTCAGGAAGAGTAGATTTGGAGCGACAAGCAAGAGTTTGGTTTGGACACATTAAGTTTGATATGTATGTGTCCACGACAAGTAGAGGCATGCCAAGCCCATGAGCTGGACTTACTAGTCCAGAGTTCAAAGGAGAGGTAGGGAAAAGTTTTCAGAAAATAAATACTGCAAACCTATGGTATCTGCTTACTTGTTAAAGTACAAAAGCCGAGTCATGTAACATGGAGGCTTTCCTACACCCAGTGTGTCAACCACTGATATCCGTCCAAGTCAAAACTGCACGCCCTTTCATGCTTCAAAGTCTCTACTCACGTTTTCCCTTGACCTGGACTGCACTTCCCTTCCTTGCCATCAGAATCCAGTTCATCCTTCAAGGCCTGTAAAACCTCTTCTAATGTTTTCGTTGAAATCCATCATGACTTCTTTTGTGTTCCCAGGGCATGGACTACCTTTTTTCTGACTACTTGTCAGAATCTACGTCTCCACAAAATAGTATGCTCATCAAAGGAAGGGAAGGACCGTGGTTCATTGATCTTTGTATCTTTAACACGGAGATACACATGGGTGAGATCCTGAAAACCAGACTCCTCAGTCAGTCCCAGTTTACCACTACTGGTTTTGAGGTGAAAATGCATGAAGACGAGGTCAGACAATTGCAAGCTATTTATTACTACAGAATATTGGCTAAAAGCCCCACGTAGAACTCATAGCCTGGGCGAGCTGGCTTCACCATGTGTGAGTCACAGCATCCTCTTTGCATCCTGAGGAGTTCAAGAACTGGGCTAAAAACTGGCTTCCTTTGTCTTTTTTTCTGAGGCCTGTCCCCAGGTCTTGATCACTCTGGTGGTAGGAATGATGAGGACAACTGAATCTAACAGGGAGTTAGTCTAGGGAAGTGTAGACTAGAGCACAATTGGCCTAAGTTATACCCCTGAGGCGTGGGGATGTAGGGGTTGGTAGGGAGCTGAAGGCTTAATTTACCACACTAACCAAATATGAGGACATGATCTGGAAATGAAGGCAGTGACTAAACAAGGCAGGCAGAGAGCAGATCAAGGATGCAACAGGATTTAACTTCTTTCTCATTGCACAGAACATCCCACCCGGCATTATGACCAGTGGTGTCCCAAGCACCTTCTCCTTGGGGGTGAGCTGCAATGAGGAGAGCCCTGAATCCTGCCACCAGATGGAGCTGGCCCTGCATCTAGTCCTGATTTTCACCTAGCACGTGCTGAATAAAGCTTCATTTAATTTACTGAATTGGATAAATACTCAGGAACATGCATATATCCCAATGGAGAGATTGAGGGGTTACTCTGTGAGTGAGAG